CTTCTGTTGTAGGTGAATTCCGAACTCACTGGTTTAGAAAAATGCATCTTAAGAATCCAGTTTGTACTGGAACCACGACATAGATTTCAAGATGCACTGTCAGTGCTCTTCACCCAAAACAACACTTTTTTTCCCCAAAGGAAAGTTCAACTCGTATGTTAAAGTTTTGCAATTTTTTTTTCTCATTCCATTTGGTGTTTTCAACTCTCTCAAAGAGGCTTTTATTTTGAGTTGCTTTCGAGCACAAACAGATCTTTTATGCAATAAGCCTGGTTCCCAGTCCTTACGTCATTGATTCTGGACGGGAAAACCAGTCTAACCTAACCATTGTGGGTCGAATACCAGTCTAATCTAACCATAGGGCCCGAACATTTCCAAATTGGGTATTTCTCGAATTTAAAGCCCCCAAAATGTGGTTCTAGATCCACCCTTGAATGGCAAATTCAAATTCCTTACAATGTGAGGACTGTTACTCAGACACCTTTGATGGTCTTTAATAGACAGGATACTAAAGGTTGGTGACTTACCAGATAGACCTCTTGCACTGCACGCTCTCACTGAGGGCAGTTTCTGTTATTTCAATCCGTGACTAGAAAAGTACAAACTGTCCATTCACACCGGCAAAAATGTACCATGTGTTGCATATGCTTGGGATTTCCCCCTTCCATTCATCGATGAGCAATCTGCAAGTAGGCAATATTTCTAAGGTCACCCAATTAGCAATTAGAGCGTCAGCATAGCCATTCAAAACATTCTCAGTAAAAATGAAAGCCTCACTCACTGACAAAAACAAATGTAAGGGTAAACATTACTATCAGTTAAGCATTGTATCCCACCTAGTTAACCTAAATGTAGACAACTTATTAGAGTAATTTTAGCAAATATTAGTATGGATAGACACAACTTTATACTGAAAGGCACAGCTCTGAGAAATGTGTCAATGAATTCGCAAATAATCAATCCTGAAACTCCCGCCGCCAATGACATCACTTGGGAAAGTACTGACCATTGACAACTCTCTGTGGGCCAAGATGCACAACCTTTTTAAGGAGGGGATGGGGGGGGGGGGGCCTTGATCACTGAAAATCACGCTCCTTCTTGGTTCTAAGCATTTGACGTAGACTAGACTAAATATGACTAGCAATAGCATACAGTTTTTATTGTAGATACAGGAAACACTGTTGTGCATGAAGCCATGAATTGTAATCATAAAAGCAGCTGAATGGGTCGAGTCAAATACAGAATATTCAATTATCTTTTTATAGTACCCGATTGTTTTAAACATCATAGATATTTCAAAATATGCCTCTTCGTTCACACTTATGTCTTAAGTTTCCTGATGTCCCGGTGCAATGAATAGTTTCTATAGCTACCAGTCCTTTGTATAAGGCCTGGGTCACCTTTGTCAGTTTTAGGCAGAGACTAAAGCACAGTAATTACGTATTTCCTCAGCATGCTAGATGAAACATTTTTCCAAGCACTTTTTTTTTTCAAATTAAAGCCAGTGCGTAATACTATACAAAGTAGTGGCGTAAATCTGTGCCGGGGACTGGGGGATGGGGGATGACTCGAATAAACAAAAATTGCCCGCCGTGGAAATTAGAAAAGCGGAGGGGGGGGGGGGTGCTGGACACCACATGAAACTAGCGGGCGCTGTTCATGATACAGATGCACATCTTATATATACTTACGCCCGTTAACCCTACATCAAAACGGCGCGTTTTAGCTTTTGTATTCTTCTTCCTTTTGCAGTACTATTGAATACATTTTGGTTGTTGGGAAGTTCCAAAAATACCTCAAAATCCGCCATTTGTTTTTGTTTGAGCAATCTGCAAAGCGGTATAATTGCTAAGGTCATGCATCCAAAAAGCAAATACAGTGTGATCATAGATATTCAGCAAATAACAATAATGAAAAGGAAAGCCTCACTCAAAAAAAACGTAAGGGTGAACATGTCTATCAGCTAAGTATTTGTAGCCCGTCATTCACACTGTATTTCACCTATTAATGCAGACAAGTTAGAGTAAATCTTCACCAATCCTGAAAGTCCCGCCCCCAATGACATCACTTGGAAATTACTGACCAATGACAGCTCTTATATGGACCAAGATGCACCACTTTTATGGAGGGGGGGGGGAGGGGCTGGGATGGAGGTAGGGGGGGTTGCTTGATCACGGCAAATCACGCTCCTTAGCATTACACGAATAGACTAGACTAAATATGAGCCGTAGCACGCAGTTTTCATTGTAAACGCAAAAAGGTTGTTGTGTGAAGTATACCGTTTGAGCATAAAAGCAACTGAATGGCTATAGAATCAAATACAGAACTAATATTTACATGTTCCATTTCATGCCCCCTGTAAATAATGCAAGAGTCGGGGAAGTATTGTTAATGTCAAGACTCCGGTTCCATTTCCGGATGCATGCTGCAACTTTCTGTATTTTGGGGTGGAAGGTCGAACTTCAGGCCATCTTTTTACAGGATGTGTTTCTCCACCCTCTCAGTATTTCACCCCATTCTTTAAGCATATCTCAAAATAGGCCTCTTCGTTCACACTAATATCTTAATTGTCCTCAGGTCCCGGTGCAGTGAATAGTTTTCTAGCTATACCACACTGTTCTGTATATAAAGTCCTCCGACTAGGTCAGCTGGTCCCCTAGACATACTGGCAGAAATTCTGTATCCTCAGCATACTGGATAAGGCATTTTTCCAAGTACATGTACTTATTTTTTTAAGTTTAAGACAGTGTGTAATTATACGACAAAGGCTTGGCCTTCACTATTGACAAAAACAACAGCTGCCCTGGACAATATCCTGTAAAGTGCAAAAACACAATGGATTGCAAAAGCTTGGGATTTCCCATTTTTGATTCGCCGATGAGCAATCTGCAATGCGGTATAATTTCTAAGGTCATTCATCCAAGGCCAAGTTCGGGCAAGGACCATTAGTCGACTAGTGGTTGATTTGTGACGTACCTTACGCCTGCGCACTAATAGCAAAGTGCAAACGTCTCTAGTCGAACGCTGGTCAAAATGTCATTGCAAAACGTCTGGATCCTGGCTCCCTGCTGTACGTTATGAACGAGCGCGGCTATGGTTACCAGCGAAGCAACCAACCCCAGTAGGTTGGTTCCAAATAGTCGACTAGCGTAGTCAACCATCGTCGACTAGACAGAGTTCGGGCAAGCGTTAGTCGACAATGGTTAACTATAGTCCTTGCGCGAACTTGCCCCAAATAGTCAATACAGTGTAAGCATAGCCATTCAACAAATTTCAATAAAAAGAGAAAGCCTCTCAAAACCCCAAAAGCCGTAATGTATAATTAATAAACAAACATGACCGTCAACATTGGGCTACATTGTAGCCCACCATTCATGCTGGAAATTGATGCAATTGTTTTGGCACGTCTGCTTGCCATTTTGTGGGCTCAAGTAATTTATTACAGTAAATGTAGTAAATAAAGACCAATATGGACAGACACAATGTATACTGAGAAGCATGGCTTTGAGAAATGTGTGAAGTCACAAAACACCAACCCCCAATGATATCACATGGAATGTACTGACCAACTGCAAGTCACAATGGACAAAAATGACAATTTTTTTTTTGGGGGGGGGGGGCAAATCGAGGCGGGTTGCTTGATCACTGAAAATCACACTCTTCCAAGTTCCAAGCATTTGACATAGACAATCAAGGGCAAACTTATTAGGCTACATTCCTTTAGAGTGGGTATTATACTCTGTGGTCAAACGAGACAAGAATGGGACAAATAAGAGCCTATCAGAAATATTTCAAAGAACATTTAAATTCCTCTTATATAATCTTTTCCTCTGATATAAGACTCAATCGTTCTGCTTTATTTTAACAGAAACTTTTATACATGTACATGTTCTGCAAATCCGTGATTTAATAATTGAGCACTGAAAACATAACAGTGTTGTTTATGCATGCATGCAGTTGCAAAGTACGAGTTGTTCCTTTTTATAAAGGGCAGACTGAATATATGAGCAATATGCAGTGTTTCCTTTGTAAATGTAGGAAAACTGTTGTAAGAGCAACTGAATGGGTTCAGTCAAATCCAGAACTATTGTTTACATGATTGTATGACCCTAATTGTAATAATCCGGGACTCAGGAAGTATTTTTGATGCTCCGGTTTCACTTCCCTTTTGGGTGGAATGTCGAGGCAGCACTCAGACAAAACGTGTCCCTTCCCCTTTCTACAGTTGTTTTACTTTCATACTGCACACACAATTATGTTGTAGGCTCAGATCTCAAAACTCAGCAATGAATTGTAAGAAAACACTGCCTATAGTAGACTCGTGAGCTGGGACAATAGCATTGCATTCTTTTTGAGAAACAAATTTCCTAAGACAAGATAAGTTTGCGGTAGCACCATGTGAATAAATCCCTTTTGCAGTGGCAGTTCTACGGGGGGGGGGGGCTAAAACAAATTTGTCTAGCCCCCAAAAAACAATTCCATAAAAAAATGCACTAGCAAATTTAAGAATGTGACGTACATGCGAACGGTCTCCCCCTAAATACATAGTCGTGAGAAGGGTGCATTTGTACACTTGTTGTTAATATAGTGTGCCTGATTGTAGGATTTTATCAGCGCTCCCCATTGAAAAAATACATATACACCATTTTGTAATCTAGTGTGAATAATCGTCGAATTTGAACAGCGCCCCTCCCCCCCCCATTTTTGATTTTACGGAGGCCAAGTGTCCAAAGAAAACACCCTGTCTGCATTTCAGAATTTTTGCTGATGAACCCCCCCCCCCCGCAAAAATTCCTGGATCCGCCCCTGTTGTACTTCATCCCAATTTCGTGTGAGATGGAGCAAGCCAAATAGGGTCACTTCCTTTTTGACTGACCCTGTATACTTCAGGTAACTCTTTCATTTATTTAGAAAAAGGATATGCAAACACTGTTAACAAATAACACAATTTACAAATAATCGTGATTTATTTTGGGATTTTTTTTTTTTTTTAGGTGGGTGGGGGGCAGAAGAGACAATATAACTCGTCACGTTAATAATCATCCAAAACATACTGGGCTGAATTTGAGCATCCTGTCCAAATTCATATCCGAAGCTATACAGTGTACCATGTATATAAGCAAACTCATAAAGCCTTAAAAATCTAGTCACGTTCAATTACAGCATTCGGAGCATGTGGTATTCACTTTATGATAAACAGATTGAAGCAAGGACTATCTGCTGTCGTTGAAATATAAATTTGCATATGGGAAACAGACAGACACAATGTACTTGCACATTAGCATTTTAGTCGCACGCACACACACATGCACTTGGCACTGTGTATTATGGAGAGTGATTAACTGTCAGCAAATGTAACAGGGCGCAGCCTAAATGTTTCTTGAACATCGGGTGTTGGAACACTGTTTTGGACAGGCGTTTCTCGATCTTCTCGTTGCAGAGGAAGGTAAGCATATTTTCAACGTTCCTCCTGATTATTGTGAGGCTGATTAAATTCAGATACCGAGAGAAAATTATGTTTTATGTCAGGGGCCTATACAAGGCGAGTCATAATAATAATTATAATAATAATAATAGATAAATTGTTATTATTATTGTTATTAAAAAGAAAACTCAGGATGCTGGCTGGACAGCAACTGAGTGACTATTACACAGGAACACCACAGTCAATGCAGGATTTGAGCTACGGACATTTGTTCATACTCAAGATGTTATTATAAATTACATATGTTCATGTATGTACATTTTACAGCATTATGAATACGTTACTTTTGTTCCAGACTATAGACTGTGTATTTTTCCTCTTGTGTTAAAATTAGAAATGCAGGCAGCCTGACCAGCACGAGGAACTAAATCAGGATGGACGACATGATCAGTAATATACAAAAGGACATTGAAACATTTATATGGTCATGCACATATGGCGATCAATGGCCAAACAGAACTGTTCTTCTTGTGAATGAAGAAGTGCACTACAACATCAGCCAATCTCAGCATGCAGAGATGAATGCTTTGCCCTCGATTAAGAAACTGCTTGACGCAAACAAAGAGATAGTCATGTACATTAATTACTCTCCCTGTAGTGACTGTGCCGAGAATATAGCAAAGGTTTTGAAAGAAAACCCAGAGGTGCCAGTGTGGATTAAATTTGCTTTTGTGTATTATGCACAATACCAAGCCAACAGAGATGGATTAAGGACATTAATGTCTGGATCAAACACCACTCTGGAAACAATACATTGGAATGAGTGGATAACTGTAATACAACGGATACTGGAGAGTCATGGAAAGACGTACTGGAAGACGATATTACATCAAATCTTGGACGAACACTCGGCATCTGGACAGGAAGAGGTATTGCAGGAGATTCTCAAATGTCACGGGGCAGATTACTGGACAGCCAAATCTTTGCAGACCTCTGTGATAGCCCTGGATGACGAAAGGGAAAAATGGGAAGAGGATTTGAAAGCGATCCTCCTTGAAAATTGGGAAATGGAACAAAAACTAAGAGAGATTTTAAAGCATCACGGGGAGGATCAATGGCCAACTGTATTAGCCATGATTCGGAAACATCAGAAGAAAGATGGCTGGCAAACAACGCCGGCACAGCTTCTTCAAACTACGGAGGTAGATGCTGAAATTCTCAGCCCCTCAGAGAGAGACTGCTTGAGAGCTTTGTCGATGGAGAAGCCTGGGGATCATAGACAGGGTTATGTTTGGTTGAAAGTAGTGCTGGCTGCATTAGATATTGAAGTGAGGGAGGAATGGCTAGGGCAGAGAATTCGTACCGACACTTCTGCAGCAAAAGAACTGAAAGCTATTATACATGAAAATTCCTAGATAGTTGATCATGGGCATTTCAAATCGGGGGCCGCAATAATAAACTGTGCATCAGAATTTTTTAAACGCATATACCATAATGTGCACAATGGATTTACTGTCATCATATATGATAATGCAATGAATGAGAAATGGAATATACATGTATTAAGAATTGGAATGTTTGCTAATGGTGTCCATTACCTTTAGTATTTCCAGCCGAATCCTAGCTGATGATATTTTCTTCTAATTACTCAGAAGCACCAATAAAAACCACAATATTTAAAAATGTCATGGCGCTGCAGGAAAACCGTATGCTCTCAACATTTACAGTCGAGTCTCGTTAATACAAACTCGTTCGGACCTCGCCAAATTGTTTGTTATATCAGAATTTTGTATTAAGGGGAACATCAGTCCCATTCATTGTGCACATAAATGCACAGTCGGGACTAAGGCTTTCATAGTTATAATCGAGTGAGCAAACTCGATTAGTTTGTGATTGCACAAGGAAATCCCAACTTATGTATATATAAATAAAAACTAGTATTTTGTAACAATGCAAATGTTAAATAATATTTCTTTTAATGTTATGTCAGTAGTGGTGTTGGTAGCACTTATCAATTCACTCCTTTATCAATTTATTTATTCACTTTAAAATAACTATCATAAAATAACGGAGGCTTTTAACTAATTTTGCCATTTCTGATTTTCCTTTTCACCTCTTTTTCTACTATGTTTTTTTTTTTTACATTTAGTTTGCATGTGGTTGTACAATGGCCAATTGAATTTCCCCTTTGTTGGGTTAACAAAGTTTGTATTGTACTGTATTGTAGTGTCTCAATATTGCTGCCTTTGGCCTGTGAAAGACTTTGCCAAATAATCATAAGAACATATCCTGATTTTTTTTTTTAAACAGCATCTCAAAACATGCCTCTCCGTTCAAAATAACATCTTCTGTTTTATCCAGTCAATTAAAGTTTTTCTAGATACCAGTGCTTTCTGAGTTGTCATTACTGGCTCACCACCTTATAGAGGCAGAGAAAATTCAAGCATAATTTGTTTTTCACGTTTAAGCCAATGGGCCAAGAAAAAAAAAGTCTCCGGTTTCTGGTATGCGCGCGCGTCGCCGTAGCCATGCGCGTCGACAAAAATGAAAAAGATTTTTTTTCAATGAAAGATGATGTCTCAAAACCGCGTGAGCATAGCCATTTAATACATTGAATTAAAAAATGAAAGCCTCGCTCAAACAAAAAACAATGCAAGGGTAAACATTCTATCAGCTAAGCATTGTAGCCCATCATTCACATCACACGATTTCACCTAAATTAATGTAGACCAGTTACTAGAGCAAATTTTGCAAAGGTTAGTATGGATATAGATACAATATTACACTGAAAGGCACAGCTCTGAGAAATGTGTCAATGAATTCGCAAATAATCAATCCTGAAAGTCCCGCCCCCAATGAGATCACTTAGGAAAGTACTGACCACTGACAACTCTCTGTGGTCCAAGATGCACAACCTTTTTTAGGAAGAGACGGGGGGGGGGGGGCTGGGATGGGGGGGGGGGGTCGTGTGATCACTGAAAATCACACTTCTCCTTAGTTCTAAGCATTTGATGTACACTAGACTAAATATGAGCAATAGCAGATACTGTTTTATTGTAAATACAGGAACACACTGTTGCGCATGAAGTGTAATCATCAAAGCAACTGAATGGGTTGAGTCATTTACAGAACTAATATAATTTACATGTTGCATAGTATGACCCCTGTAAATAATGCAAGAGTTAGGGCAGTATTGTTGACGTCAAGGCTACGGTTCTACTTCAGGTTGAATGCTGCAACTTTCTGCACTTTGGGTTAGAAGGTCGAACTGCGGTGCAAAATGGGCCATCTTTTTATAGTGTTCCTTCGCCCTCTAAATATTTGCTTCACTGTTACATTGCACTGAACAATTTCACAAATCTCAAAAATCAGAATCTAGCCATAAACACTGCGTGGGACTATAAAATTACAAGTGTTTGTTTTGACACTATAAAATGCATGGCGTGGGTCAGTGATGTAGTGCCTTGATGCTGGGCCTTGGCCTTAAGGCTGGATTTTAGGGCCTTGGCCTTGGCCTCGAGGCTTGAGGACAAAAGCCTTGGCCTTGGCCTTGAGGGTTAAGGGCCTTGCAATTTTGAGTCAAGGCTCTTCAAGGCCCATAGATTTTTGCATTTTCCAGATAAATCTGTTCGAAATTTTGCTGTTACCATTTTAATTGTATTACCATGGAGGAGGGAAGCACCCTATAGATTTGTGTGTTGGGCACACTTCCACTTTTGTAGCATCACTTTTTGTTACCATTGTAGTACATTTGCTGCAAAAATATTCCGTACACTTGTGGGGCTAAGGAGATGATCACTTTAATTGCATATAACTATGGAATAGATCTGATTGGTTGTATATGTCTCCCTGATAAGTGCTAGAGATTTGCATGTATCTGTTTTAGATAATGCTGATATTTCTGACCATGTTGGGCCAGCAAATAAAAATTTCCCAAATCAGTTTCGTGGATCCCCCTTTTGTAACACTTGGGGGAGAATTGTGTGTCAATATAGAAGTAAATCATTATTTTGTTTAGTTAAACCGTATTGAAGACCTGAACTTATACTTTAATAGATACAGTGCAGTCATAAAACGGTGTAGGCCTACTGGTATGCGAGCATGTTGATTGCAATTAAAGAAATGTTGTTCTTCGTAACGAGCAATTCGTGATGATAAGGGCGGATCCAAGGGGGCCAAAAGGGGCCATGCCCCCCCCCCCCAAAAAAAAAACCCGAAACCATTTTTTTTTTATGTGACGTCGTAATAAAGGCAGGCAATGAGTACACCACCATCTTTTCCTCAAAAAACATTGGTTAAAATGGTCAGAAATTGCCTCAAATCGCACCTCAGAGCATCTCGAATCCAAAACTTTTTCGGGGCCCTTAAGCGGGCCCCGAAGCCCAAGCCGTAATTTTTTGACCCACTTTTTTGGGGGGGACCAAAATTTCTTTTGCCCCCCCCCCCCAAATTGTGTTCCGGATCCGCCCTTGCGTGATGATGTGTCACTTATGTGACTATAATTAGTTCTATATCAGTGGTCATTTCATAAAACAGGGCCTTGGCCTTGAGGGTTAAGCCTTGGCCTTGGCCTCGAGGCTCAAAGCCTTGGCCTTGAGGGTCAAAGCCTTGGCCTTGAGGGTCAAAGCCTTTGCTCCAACACTGGCGTGGGTTTCTAGCATCAATTGCAATCCCAGCTAAGTAGGCCTATGTGCAGTAAAAAACAAAAAATCACACCATACATGACATTACATTGGGCGTGTTCTTAATAAAAGACGTCAGCAACAAAACCACTTTGTCATTCTTGGAGAGAAAGGTGGGTACATGTACTCATTTTCTTCGACAATCATTCTGTGAAATTCCCCTGAAAGTTGGGAACTCAAAATGAAGCTTTTTATATTACTTCAGGGCCCAATCCCTCACAAATACACAAATATGCTCTTCTTTGACAATACTTGCAAACCAAAAAGTGGTGAAAATATTTTTTTTTCAAATTCCCCAAAAGTTGGGAACTCAAAATGAAGCTTTTGATATAACTTCAGGGCCCAAACCCTCACCAATCCATAAATCAATCGGCTGATGATTTTGCTTGATTTTCTTTGTGTATTCAACACTGCAAAGCCCAGTAGCAATCAACGATGCCCCAATTTTCTACAACTGCAAAATATGCTTCATATTTCTATCATCATTAGGCCCTATGAGTTGATTGAAGATTTTCAGGTCCATTTACCCACGACTCTTTTTTACACGATAAAAAGAGGAAATGCCAAGCTATACAAGATACCATACAGTGTTTTTCAATTTTATGGGAAGTAAATTTTAAAAAAAATCAGGAAATCAGCTGATCCGAGGAAAGTTGCCCACTGTGAAATCATATTTTGTATTAAAGGGATTTGATTTTTGTAAAAGATATGATCGCAGTAGTGATACATTGAAAGTTTTGGAGTAATTGCAGAATACCCCGCCACGCGAAAATTACCCCCTAAAAATAAATGGCTACGCAGTCGGAAAATATTGCAGAAATGTCCAAAGTACATGTAGATGTCGGGAAGTGGATACGCGGATACAATATACGGGGTGGATTTGAGCGCTGGAGGGTCTAAAGAGGGCGCTATTTCACTGTATTAAGAAATGCCGCCAGCAGGGACAACGTGAATTGAATGGGGAGCAGGGGTTAAATAAATCTAAGTCCAAAGTACGTGCCAGGAAGTGGATACGCGGATACGGGGATACGGGGTGGACTTTATTTTTAGCCGAGGAAAATATTTTTGAGAACGAAGCATCCATATCCATGTTGGAAAATAACGAAGGCAGAGACAACGTGAGTTGAATGGGGAGCAGGGGAAAAACGTCTAAGTCCAAAGTAGGTGCCGGGAAGTGGATACGCGGATACGGGGTGGCGCACGCGTGTGGTTTTGGGGAAAAACGTCCAAGTCCAAAGTAGGTGCCGGGAAGTGGATACGGGGATACGGGGAGGCACACGCGTGTGGTTTTGGGGAAAAACGTCGAAGTCCAAAGTAGGCGCCGGGAAGTGGATACGGGGATACGGGGAGGCACACGCGTGTGGTTTTGGTTGAGCATCCAAGCGTGACTCCGTATCCGCGTATCCGGATACGAGGTGGGATAGGTGAGTGGCGGGGTATTCTGCAATTGTGCCGATTTGGGGCTACAAAAGAAAAGATGCACACAAACTTTTTAACAAATAATACATTATGAATGACATTATACATGCTTCACAATTTAATGGTGGAAAACCAACACAGAAACAGCCTTCCTCGTGTATGTTTATAGTTAGCTGTATTATTGAAGAAAATGGAGTCAATTTTACACTTCATCCCCTCCCCACCTTTTGACCCATTCGGTGATTAAATATTTGTAACAACATGAAATATGTATATGCATTGCAGAACCAATGATCGTTACTCACTGAGACACGATAAAGATTGCCGTCTCAAGGATCAGAAAACCCACGATCGACTCCACAGCAGCAGAAACTGAATCCCCAAGCGCACTCACATGTACCATCTGTCAAGTCAAAGGTATTGCTAGACAAACTATTGTACACTCTACTTGCAAATATGTTTTAATTGAAAACAAAAATGCACATCAGAGAATTTGCAGCAAGAATACAAGTATTTGTCCTATTGTAACTATCACTCACTGGATGTTGCATCAGTGTGGAACATGAACCTGCATCCATTAATGCTGGGTCATACAGCATTGCTTGAGATGATTTGTGCACCTGATAATCCTTTCAATACTTGGGACTTGGCTCAACTTTCTCGAATAATGTTTCGCAACCTGCTGCTCACGTCAAACAACCACAGTAAGCACTGTTTGGTTTTAATATTTAATTCACTGGAGTCAGTGGCTGCGCTACAGGGAGCACCCCCCCCCCTAAGTCTTGTCTTTTCCCCCAGTTCTCCCCCCCCCCCCCCCTCCCCCGTTTTCCACCAACACTTTATGTACACAGATTAATTATGCTTATTTTCTTCGCTGTTAAGATTCATAAAATTTGGGGCCAATGAAAGCATTGAAACATTGGTACTTAAGACAAAACATGCCACACATGCATTTCTACAGCCGTAGATAGTGTGCAGCCAACGTCTTTATACATTTGTTATTATACACCATGCTGCAGTTTGATGCATTTCTCATTCATTCAAACGACTACACCTCTAAGTTGCTCTAGTGGCTTGAGGCTTGAGATTTTTTAGAGTCTGGCGCCGCCACTGACTAGAGTTGACGTCCTTCCCTCAAAAGGACAAAGGAAACAAACAATTGAGAAAAACACAAAAGTCACTGAAGGGGTGTGAAGAATGACATTTTTTAGTAAAACAACTTTTGTATCAAAATAGAAACGTGGACACATCCTGGGTTGCACTTTTCAGCATTCTAGTTTGTTAAAGCTACTGCCTTTATTTTAAGTCATGTTTTGTTGTTTTCTACAGTTAAAAGTCTTACAGAGCTTGGACATCTTGTTACAACCCCTTCCACAGACCAGTTACACTTCTAACAGCTAGAGTGAGTTATAGTAGTTTTTTTTATTATTTTAATTCATACAATTTCTGATGTATCTATTTTTCAGTGCATGGGCCTATGTATATAGAACACTCTTGACAAAATTACTCCAGCTTGCATCAAATTAATATTCTATTTTCCCTGATGTGTACCTTTCAGACACTACTTCGGATATGGCAAAGGCAAGGGCAGAGACTAGGGCAGAGGCTAGGGCAGAGGCTCAGGCAAAGGCAAAGAAATACATTGACATCTTTATCAACTCAGCCCCCCTAGGGTGTTTATGGCCCAAAGAAACTGTTTTGATTGCCAATGGTAAGATTTATCAGAATGCACGAGGTAGACATGCAGAGAAAGTATTTTTGGACAAATTTGAAGAAACGAGGAAAGCTGAAGGGAAAGTTGTAAACATGTATTTGAATTACTCACCATGTGACGAATGTTCCACAGAAATATTAAAGTTTTTAGTAAAACATTCTCGGGACAAATTCAACATTACATTTGCCCATGTGTACTACTACTACGACAAAAAAAATCCTGAAAAGAGCATGGATCCTTATAAAATCAGGGAAGGGTTGAGAATGTTAGGTAAACACGAACAAATCACTCTGAAGGCAATCACAGAGGATGATTGGGAGGAAATCATGACACTTATCCTCAGGGATCAAGGACTTGAGGAATGGGCACAGGGTGATGTAGAAGAGTGGAACATGACAAAAGGAAGCATTCTGGAACAGCAGGTTGTCTGGGAACAGGATTTAGACAATGCTCTCAAGGATATTCTGTATGAAAGGTTACGTAAGCCTGTAAAAGACATCATGACAAAGTATGTTCATGAAAACTGGGGAAATAAAGTGGGGGATTATCTCACACAAAGAAAGATAAGGTACCTCCACAATAAAGTAATGCAGGCTCTGTACAATCACGGTGAAGGTAATCACGGTGAAGGTAGCCTTAAAACAATAGTAAATGCTGCCAGTGGAAGGGGTTATGCTTTTCTGTTGCATGTGCTCGGAGCCCCAAAAAGGGCAGAAGGGGAAGAGGCAGAAGGGGAAGAAGGGAAAAAACGGGAAGAGAAAGAAGATGAAGATGGGGAAGAGGTAGAGGGAGAAGAAGAGGAAGATGAGAAAGAAGATGAAGATGGGGAAGAGGTAGAGGGAGAAGAAGAGGAGCAAGATAAGAAAGAAGATGAAGATGGGGAAGAGGTAGAGGGAGAAGAAGAGGAGCAAGATGAAAAAGAATATGAAGAGGGGGAAGAGGTAGAGGGAGAAGAAGAGCAGCAAGATGAGAAAGATCCGCATGAATTATTGCGAAAGCGCATAATTGCAGACTTTGTTGCGCATAAAGAACTTTGCTACATACTTAAAGGGAAAGACTAGGCTTCCAAATTTCAAATCACCAATAGATCAACTTTACATGTAGCATTAAGATCGTACAAATTCTCAATTCAGTTTGTTTTTGGAAAACATCTTATAAGTCTGTACAAAAATACTTCTAATAGAATTCAATCTGTTTTGTAAATTAATCTCATAACACATCAGTTAAGAGATAAACTCTCTAATTAAATTTACAATTAGTCTGTAAGCATGGTGACAATTTTTGACCAAAAACTTTTAAGTTGGTCACTGTGTGTGTTGGCTAAAAAGTGTCCCATCCCATGTAAAAAGATCAAGAGTGGTTTGTTGGAGTTAATGAGGGTTTGAAGAATTTGTAATGTTAAGTGATGACAGGTTGGACTCGACTTCCAAGCTTGCCGGACCCGGTTTGAATCTGATATAGCAGCAGGTATACTGCATTCGATAATTACCTACGTGATAAAAATGTATTTACTATTGGGAAGTTGCAATTTGAACACTTGGTTCTACTCATCATTGACAAATAGTCTGAATATTGCTTGGATTTAATATGTGGAATGTAAATTGGGGATGGCGATATTTAAAAAAAAATTGTTGCATAGAATTTTATCTTTTGTTTTAGATATTGTTGCAATGAATACTGATGTAGAATGTATGCGGCATATAATGAAGAAACCTGAGAATGTGAAACACTGTGAAATTCTCCAATTTAAATGTGTGATTATTCGCGCAGACTGAATAAGAGAAATAATTTAGATTAGTTAATTTGTTTTTCAGTTGTGTATCATACTGTAATATTTATTTTGAAGCTTATTTTGTGTCTACTTTGTTTTTACGATGAATACTCATCAACATAATTATTTCTTTTTCAGAATCTATACATGGCAGTTTTATCAAATAACAATGTACATTTTCCAGAATGAACAACGTACATGTAGGTTAAAGAGAATTACATAAATTTACATATACATGCGACTGGAAACCAGCTAATTCACATGAGTAGACACAGATCACAAGGCTCCAAAATATGCCATACCAGTACTCATTCATTAGAAAGACATATGTAAATGTAATTTAACAAGTTATTACAACTTTGGATTGGGGAAAAAGAAACTGAGTATTTGTTTGTGTTACTTTCTTTTTTAATACATATTAACTGCTTGTACATTGCGTATTTTGTATAACCCTAAAGCGACTGAAATGTGTGTTAATCTTCTAGAGTATATGAATTTTCAAACAAATAGTTCTAATACTTTTATCAGATTTTTGTGTTATTATAATGTTAAATGTACAGGTAAAGAAAAGAGATACTTCATTTCAAATGTTTATAATCACAGGGGTGTGAGTGACCACTGATAAAAAATAGCTGAAAACAGCTGAAAAAGGTGTAAAAAAGCTGAACTTTGGAAATCTCCTATACTTTTGTACACAGCAAGTGAGGGGAAAAAGCTGAAATCCAAAAATGAAGAAGCTGAAATCAGCTTTAAAGCTGAGATTTCACACCCCTGTAATCAACACATAACTAGAAATGAAAGTCTTCCCATTTGTGTAATATTACTAAAGATTACAATTATGGGGAACGGTACGTTAAGAACACCTTCTCATAGACTCGTGCACAAACAAATCCTAACTTTAATGACCCCTACTCTTCACCTTATCCTAGCCTCACCAAACTTTGTAAATTTGGGTGTAACATCACGAGGAATTGGTTTAGCTTATATTGTATTTGCGATAATAAAATTTTGCCTTGAAACATCGGAGAGACATTCCAATGTCTCCCTAATCTACCTGATCTCCCCGAGGTATATGTATAGGTTTTGATGATGTGTCTCCATACGCGTACATTTACAGGAATTAAATGTTCAATAGAATAAACTTTTCAATTATATAATGTATGTTTATAACAGCAGGTTGTGATGAATTGATACTTCATAGTCTTAGTGTAGATGTAATATGTTAATACTTATAATCAATAAAGCATGCCATTCACCACCAAAATGTTGTGTAAATAAATGATTACAAATTTGCTTCACAGAATTAACTAAATGCACATTTAAATATTTTGCCAACTTTGATAAAACTTTTAAAAAAAATGTATTTATTGTTTAATTTTTTTTTTATCAAACTTCTGTTGTAGGTGAGTTCCAAACTCACTGGTTTAGAAATAAGCGTCTTACTGAGTCAAAGTTGTACTTGAATCAGGTCAGAGGTTTCAAGATGTACTGTCAACGCTCTTCAACTAAAACAAAATGTTTTTTTTTTCCTTTAAGGAATGGTTAATATGTATGTTTAATTTTTGCAAATTGTTTTTTCTCATTCCATTTTTTTTTTCATCTCGAGAACAAACAGATCTGTCATGCAATAAGCCTGGTTCCCAGTCCTTACGCCTAACCTAATCATCATGGGCCAAATAGTCCGACTAGTCTAAACTTATCATTGTTGGGCCCCAATATTTCCAAATTTGTATATATTTTCGAATTAAAGCGAGTTAGCCCCAAAAATTTGGTTCTAGATCCACCCTTGCATGGCAAATTCAAATTCCTCACAAACCGAGTACCTGCATTGAAGTTACTTAGACACCTCATGTCTTTGATAGACAGGACACTTAAGGCTGATGACTTACCAGATAGACCCTTTGCACAGCGCGATCTCACCGAGGCCAGTTTCTGTCATTTCAATTATTGTTTTCTTCTGAATGATACCATTTCAGGTGGAATAATTTTACAGGGTATTTGGTACCAGGCCTATGTTTACTTTGAGCAAGGATTTCCTGGAGAAATTAGCATACTCTCCGAATAATTGCTTATGTTCCTACATGCCTTTAAAATGTTCCATAGTTATTTTCCTAAAACATACCTGCAAAGATGTCCTGATGAAATGAAGGCACTGCCTTAGCAGTGTAGACCTACTACTCTTTGGACAGCTGCCAAATACTGAACGCATCACCACATCAACGAATTCCTAGGACAGAGGGCAGTGTCGCGGCAGAGCGTCGCAAGCTTGACTTCGAATGTTGATCCTGATCTGAAGAAAAAATTGTGACACTTTTCTTGAAGGTCTTAAGCAGGACACTGAAGGCTGCTTGGATACTAAATGGAGTAAAGAAGCTGCAGTAATATGCTGCACTGAACAGAAATTGAAAAAAAAATCCTCATTGAAAAACTGACTAACTACTGATCTCGAATTTACAGTCATCTAACAAATTTTACCAAAACAAAACATTAACAATTTAAAGAAAATTTTACTTAAACAATCATTAAGGCGCTTTATATTCTCACTCCAGTAAACTATTCAGAAGGAACTTTTCTGCCAAACTAATAATTGCACATCTACAGATTCAAAACCGATCTTGTAGGTGCAAAAGTTTTTAACTTTGTGCCAATTACATTATCATAATTCATAACAGAAAACATGTTTAGAGGAAAAAACATGGAAGAAATGGGAGAACAAAAAAGAACAAAATGCACAATTTACCTGTCAGGAATGATGTATTGTTTCCATGGTAGTATCCTTGCATATCCAGCTGTTCAAGGTCACTGTAAGAGATGAGAAAAAATAATCACATCTTGCCAGTTCAACGTAGAGTCCCGGAATTTGTTTCCCTGTAAACAATTAGGAAGCTTGAGTGAATTTTCCATAAGAAGTTGACAATATAACTGAATGTTGAGACATATTTCAAGATATTAATGTAAACGTCTTTCTCATCAGTTTACCGAAAATAAGAATTTGCCTTGTTGTAATACAGTAACATGAGAATCTTTATAAAACAAACATAATACAGAAACAAACAACCCTCAATATTGTGAATTTGGAACATTTCAAACAACAATAGCAGTTCAGACTTACCTAGTGCGTCGTTTTCATGTGGGGGTGGTCAATTCAATCTTGAAAAATTATGCAATCTGCGTTCTATAAAAAAGTACATGTACTTTGCATTTCAAAAAGGGTTGTTTAGCAAGGAATTTCTTCTTTGAGGAACAACAAATGACAAACAAACATTTTTTCCAGATCTAAAAAGTATATTTCAACACAAATAAATCAATGAACTTAAGTTACATGTGTGATGCACCCACGTTTGAAATTAACTTCACAAAAGCAACTTGCTACACTTGGCCTCTATAGACCTTATGCATTGCAAATACAGAGGGCCTGCGTTTTTGTAATTCAACCTCAGCTACAAGTACAATGAATACACAGGTATACTCATGCCTGTCCTAGCAATGCGAAACAAGTGCCCTCTGATTCCACCTATTGCAAAAGGTCTATACTTTCCACAATACGACGTGAATATCATTTATAATCTAACATGTTGATATGTTTTCATCTTTCTTTTCAATTTACTTTATATTTCCTATTTTAACACAAGTAATATATCAGTACTTAGCTACTTGTTAGTTTGAACATTTCTTTGATTAAATGTAACATTTGTAATTACACACATGGAATGATATTCAGAGAACTTAAGTAGTGGTGAGAAAAGATCTATAAACAGTTTTCAAAAACAATTTTAAATATTCATGACAAATAATGTACTTGGGTCATACCGTGAATCATCCAACGAATGGAGGTGCCCATTGTGTAGACCAGCTGCATGGCAAGACTTTCAAGAGAATAGAATGGTGTGCAAGCTGGGACCAACATTACTAAACTTGCCTTGTAGTGTTTACAAGGACAATGGCATCAGCAATGTAACATTTCAAACAAAACAAAAATGGAAAGGAACCAATTTTCCACAAATACCATAGTAAAGACTGTTAATGCTTTTTTTTTTATACAGAATACAACAGTGAGGGGAATAAATGCTCCTCAAAAAGGCAAAATCCAAAGAACTTACTGGCCTTCTCCCTTTTAAAATCTGCCCACTGGCAATTGAATAGCGAATACAAAATAAAATCTTTCCTTGGAAATACACTCCAATACTTTTTTACTTTAAGTTTCAGACAAGAAATATTAAAAAATGTATCAGTTTGACTGAAAAAAGCAACTCATATTTCACCGTTGTTACATCTTAAACTCAAAATATAGACCTTTTGGAATGATTTCAATATACACAGCATTTTATGCAACCGTAGGAACAAAATAGAAGCGGTTTGCCTAATAAATCTCGCCACTTGTGGCCAAAATATTGGCAATGTCAACTTTTGAAAGTTAATTCCATTGCAGGCAAGGACAGATCCACATACATGATTTCAAACTTTACACATTTCAGTTGTTTAATGTTTTAGTTCACCTTTTTCTTTTGTGACAATATGTTGGTATTAAATCAAAGCCTGTGATGTATAATTTTGTGATCATGGGATTTTACGAATATCAAAATACATTATAGAATATCCTCACATGAGACAGCACTTTTATTTTATACTAACAAAACAGACATATTTTGTTGAACAACAAACTTTTAAATTTCTAAGCTTATCAATGATTTGTTACGAACATATTCTAACTACAGTTAGGCCTACAAACTTACGTAATTTGTGTCAACTGAACTTACTGCAAAACCAAGTTCTCAAACAGTTTTCAAGCAAGTAAATGTCACACCGACGAAAAACAGTTACCAAAAGAAAGACGAAATTTCTTTTCATCGTTCGTGTTCAAAAATTTCTAAATATTTTCAGCATTTCACATGAACTATTGTTATACCTCTGCCTTTAGGGTGGCATGCGTGGCTTGTGCGTTAAGCGCTCTCCTCTCACCAATGTGGCCATGGTTCGAATCCCGGCCGTTTTCAAAATGTCATATACCACATCACAGCAGTAACAATTCTTAATTGGTTCTAGTAAATTAACTTTTTATAATTTCACAGCCATAAATGTCAACCTGACCTCCGCCATGCACTGATATTTGCCAGAAAATGGTTTGAGAACTGTTTGACTGTAATATTTTAATGACCTACATATTAATACTTGATGGTCATCTTGCATTGGTAACTTGATCCTGCTTCACAGGATAACAGGGCCAATATCAGCTGAGGAAGACACAAGAAAGAGGGCGTTAAAAGAAACTTTGGAGGTTTTTGGTTTTTTTTGGATTTCAGGTTGTCGTCGAATTTCTGATTTTGCCAGCCAGCTCTTTGTGTTTTATTTTAAAGAAACTAAACATCATTCAACAATTAATGCAGACTCAAACATTTCTAAAAATGGAAGGGAATGCAATTGAAGGGCATGAACTTACCCCATGGTACTGTCTGGTTCCTTTAGTGGTGAAACAGTCGTACATTGGTGTGTGCCAAGGCGATACCGTGGTCATTGCATGCTTCGATGATGACTTGATCTTGAACAGCACCAGCGGGACTAGCAATGTATGTCACACCACTCTGATGTTGGAGGAAAAAGTCAATGAATTGAAATTTGGAGAAGCCATATCCTCCAGGAGTGAACTTCATTTGCTATTTCCCAGGTTTGCAGCATTGCTATTGTTGCTAGTATCACGACGTTGGGGGTGATCCCTGACTATATGTACATGCCACATCTGGTTAATGACACCTGACTAGCGGTAATTGGACAACAACATTAACAAAAGGGGAACCGCCAACAAAGGGCTGGATATCTCAGTAGAGCACCGGAATGGTAATCCGGTGATCGCGAGTTCAAACCTCTCTCAACAATTCATTGTTAAACTTAAAAAAAAAAAAAAAAGGCAATTAAATTTGTTATATTTGGTCTAATGAATAACATGGTAAAAGCCTTACTGGATAAATGACTTCCTGTTTTTTCTCATCTTTACTGAAGACAATTTGAGTAATTTATAACTCACCTGATAAGCACGATCAATGTTGTCACGGAAAGGAAAGAAGGCATCGGAGCTCAGGGCTACACCCTTCAGCTTAGACATCCACTCCCCACGCTCTGCCTAGAAATACACAAATGTGAAAGAATTATGAAACACTACGAGCTTTTTAACGCAAGTCCCAAAGAAGGTGCCTTTCCATTTATTTGACTCAGTCAGATGTTTCCCCAACAAAATGACAGATATAATAAAACTAAGCCAGCCTAGTAAAGCTGGTTCCATAGAACACACAAGTCATTTAGTTGATTCAGAATAGCTATGGAAGTCTCTTCATGTATCTGGGTACACAATGAGCCGGATTTAGCCCATTCATTTGTATTATGGGGTAATCCTATATGACAGCACTGCCCAGCTCACATGCGATAGTCAGCCAGTGAGTAAGTCAAGTCAGGGACATCGGTACAAAGAGAACACTAGGTTGGCGCTCTAGGACCAGCAAAAAGCTATTTGTCATTTTACAGACATTCGAAGAGAGGTTGCTACATCAAGGCTTGTCCGCAAGATCAGATCCAACCCTGAGCCGTCTCCTCAGTGACCTGGACTTCCACCCAAGGCCTAGACTCAAGTCTAGAAAGCCAATATGGTCCAACGTCCCGGACAGCACAGTGAGTGCAGAAGACACATGGCGCACTCGATGGCGAGGCCACACCGACGTCCCGAGCAAGTTCCTGGTCACCGACCCCACCATCCAGCTGCCGTGAATGTTGTTTCCTGAACCAGTATCCCTTCACTTGGCCGAGGACCCAGCGAGACACTGGCTTACGGACCATACAACGAGATTGCCATAGCATACGACATCATCATCATCATCATCATCATTTCACAGATTAACAAAGCTGTTTACTGACTGACAGATAGACCATCTCACAAACTAACAGATCGATCAATCAATCAACCAATGACTGTTTGATAAATTGATTGGTCGACTACTTGATCAGTTGATTGGTTGACCAATTGGATCAAGGATGGATTGACTGCTTGAATGACTGGCAAGCCAAATGACACACTGATTGACCGACCAACTGACAGACCAACTGATTAATGACTGTTATCAAACAACTCATTTGACATACGCAAGTCAAACAGATTCCTTACCTCCGTAAGCTGTTCAGGCACAGTCTGAAGGAAGCCCTCCCAGGTTTCCTTCCCCATGTCCTAAGAAAAATTGAAATAGAAGCATTCAATATTTGAAATACTTGTCAGTGGAACAAACATTTTCTCCAAAAGATGTCCTCACTTGTACCACTTGCTAGTTTATTTTACAAACAAACATGAAGATATACCATCTAGTAAGAATATTTTTGTTTTACTTCTTTCTATTTTTTGGGTGTTTTTTTTTTAGTATACAAATATAACATGGTTTGAGGGTGGACAGTCGATATTCGCTCCCCGAGGTATTGGAAGTTGACAAACTAGTTCTCGAGGCGAAGCCGAGGGAACTAGTTTGTCAACTTCCAATACCGAGGGGAGCTAATATCGACTGTCCACCCGAAATAAACCATGTTATATTTGTTTTACTATACCTCATACATATTCAGTTGCCGAATTTTGTTTTATTATTATGCACCTAAAACAAAATTCGGGGAAACTTGTACAGCTCACCAAAAGATTCAACTTCAATTACTAGTTCAGTTCGTTTGCAATATAATACAGTTACTACAGTTGTAAATACAGTTGTTTGCAATGTGTACAACTTTCTTTTGTACAGGAGACATCTTTACACGGTATATACATTTTCTCCAGTACGGCATCATTGAGCTCTGTAAATTAACATTTACGCGAACCGTGCAACCATGCATCTTTCCTGTGCGATGTTGGCGCGTGCGTACTGCACCCGTGCGACAGTTCCTCGATTGCTCTGTAAAGCGCATGCGTAGTAGACTGTCGCACGGGTAACCCATGCAACAGTCCACTACGCATGCGTATTTACAATGTGCATGAATCCTCGCGCGCACGTTTGGTAAACAGCAAGAATAACATCTGGCACGTGATGGTGAATTGACCAGTGAACGTTCGGCTCTCGATCATGAATATGTATGAGGTATAGTAATAACCACTGTTTCTTCCATTTAAATTGCTGTTGACTAAACTGTCAGACACTTTAAGCTGAAACTTGGGTGAGGACAATTATATGCAAACTCTCCACATTCTACTTGTCTGTGTCTGTGGTCTTACCTGGCCAACTTTGCCATTCACGTAGACGTCAATGACGTTGGACATCTCAGCTCTCTTGACGCCTTCCTTGAAGACCAAGCCAAGAACTTTAGGATGTTGTCGCAGCCACCTGAGAAGCAAAAAGAAAGTTGAACCCATCTTTCTTGTTCCAAATTCCTTCCATTTTATGGCCATACACTGTAAGTATCTTTGACAGCAAATATCGGCATTGACAACTCACCAGTTATTGGCCTTATCCCCAGCAAGGCGCGTGCAATGTATGCGAGACTGCTGGCCAGCCCCGCTTCCGATGACTTGACCATCACGAGCATAGCACACAGAGTTAGACTGGGTGTACTTGACGGCAATGGTGGCCACGATCAGATCGCGCAGGCCCTCTGCTGTCAACTGAAATGAGTGAGAAAAAAAGGCAATGCAGAGAGCTTGTCACTTCACAACACTATACTTTGGAATAGTGTTGGACAGTGACTGCATCTGAACTCACACCAAATCCAAACAAGATTTTTTGGTGTGGTTTCCATTCCTCTAACATGACTCAACAGCCTTTTTAAAAAGTGGAACAAAATGAGAATTTCAAAGCAATCCTACCTCCTTCTGATTGGTCACCACGTTGTTGAAGAGTTCCTTGGTCACCACGGCGTTATTACGCAGCTGCTGGAGCTGGAGGCCAAACAGGGTACGTGTCTCCTTATCATCAGGCTCATAATCAGGATCCATCTGCATTGAAGGAAATACATGGATTTAAGACAAGTCCTTGAGCAATGTACTTTACTTGTGTATCTCACTTGGTTTTTATTGTGCCCTTCATATACGTAACTATATGAGTAATATTGACTCAGTGTTGAATAAATCTACAAGCTTACTCTGGTGGGACTCGAACCCACGACTTTCTGCTAACAACCACAGATGTATTACCGTTCAACCAAATTTGGCATTGTTTCAGAGTTTAGGCATCAGTAAACTGATGTAGGGATTAAAAAACTTGCGCGCCCAAGACACAGTGGACCTCTAACATCCCACTGCCCCTACGGCCAGTAATGGCTACGGGATACCATTACCTATTATACGCAATTTGTGGAATCAGTTTTATGAGGCCTGCTTGTTCATGTATGTGACTAATTTTGCGTGGTTACAGATATACGGCCAAAACCTCTGGACTCCCTACCTCTTGCCATGATCTTAAATTTCTTTGAAGCCATTGGATTCAAATCGGATGATCCGAGAATTCATGGTCATTTTGATGAACTGAGTGATATCATTGCACACATGTTCCGTGTTGCCGTTTTGTTTGGAGCGGGATTGGCCATTGCCAGGCTTTGTCTGTTACTGCGGTAACAGTAATAATGCGTGGACACTTATCCCGTTGTGTGGAGCGGGATTGGAACTATGCTTTGCCCGTGCGTAACGGCGGGCCGTCTGGCATTGTCTGGTTGCATCGCGGTGTTTGCTCGGCGCGCGCCTGGACAGTGCGAAGGTCGGGGGGGGGGGGGTCGTAACTTTTTGGTTATGAGTGGTAAAAACCTGATTCAAAAATCAAGTTGTTTATTTTATGGGGATTCCTATATTAAGCATTTTGAAAATAAGATTTATAAAACATGCTAAAAGTAAATGATGTAAATCTTACAGAATAGAAACTCAAAATTTGGCCATTTAAGTTGTTGTATCTCCAAAGGGCAAACACCTATGAGCCTGATTCAAACGCCATTGATTTTGTTGTGTAATTTGCTTTCAGTGATACAAAACTTGAGATTTCTTTCTTTAAAAAATATAATTTGCCAGACTCCCTACAAGTGGAAACCCATTGCAAGCTGTAAATTTGTAAGCCAGGCACTCCAAAACTCAGTGAATTCAACTAAAAAGATGTTAAAACTCCAACATAATCTTAGCATTGTTTTAGTAATTTAAGCCTTGTTTTGATAGCTGGCCTTGGAGGTGGTGGCCTCGGCCTTGGCCTTGGCCTCGCGGTTGTGGCCTCAGCCTCGGCCTCAGAGGTTGTGGCCTCGACTACAACACTGGTAAACAGGAGGTCCCGTTAGTGCTAACAGTGATCGTTCCCATAAATGTAATGCAGCCCTGGTTAGCACACTGTTAGGTACCAAGCCCACACTATGAACTCCACGCATGACCAGTCACATGGCACTTCATGACTACATGGGACAGCTCAATGTATAGCACACCATGCATGTGCACACTGGTTCAAGGGGTGTGGCATACTTTGGCAATCCTATATGTACACAAACCCATGGGGCCTTTTGTGCCTGCCTGGAATACAGACAATGCATTCAGTCCTACCTAACTCTCTCTTTGTAACAATTGATGGAGTACTTGTGCCCAGAGTACATACAAGTCTCAAGTTCCATGTGTGTGATACGAGACCTCCTAATAACACAACTTACCGTCAGGATGCAGTATTTGCCACCTTTCTTCTTGGCCAGAATTTCTTGGGCCTCAGGCTCGTAGCCAGGGGCAATGATGCCATCAGACACCTACAAAAATACAAGCCCACACTTGTAAACTAAGTTTCCAAAAAAAATAAATAAATAAATAAAAGAAGCATGCACATGGCATACTGCCATTGAAATTTTGGGCTATTTTTCAAAACCAAACAATTTGTCACCCGTTATAGACCAATCTACACAAGCTATCACTTCTATCATGGAGGGCCCCCTTGAATGGCGAAAGCATTGTGCTAGCTATTGTTCAGACAATCCTGCATGGGGCAGTTGTTTTGTACAGTAGCCAGCATATGCTCGCGCCATTACAGAGGGCCCCGTGGAGGCATAGTGAACACGTTTCTGGTTTTTGTCTGTTACTGAAGACTGCTGTGCAAGATAAGAACTGTGCATTGTGATTGGCCGTCAATCTTAAGTTGAAATCAATGTCACCAAGTATTCATTGAGGGATCCACTGACAGAACCCTTGTTCCGGTTACCCATAACCCTTTGCAATTCCAGCACAAGATTCTGTGATGGCAGATCAACATGTACCTCCACACTGGTTTAAAATGGGTGGGTTGTATCACAAGATATCTTAAACTCTTTGCAACTGAATGTTGCAATTTTTTGCGTACACAGTTTACATCATAAAACTCTTGTGGTCATATTTTGCGATTCTTAAAAAATGTCTACTGAAAATGTAACTTTTTTAAGAGTTGGTAGTTTAACCCAATAGTCACTGTGTACCACCCCAAACCACACTGCCTATTACTCCCTATACAGACCCCCATTGCCCAAGCACTCTATGATTTCATGGATTCTTCCGGGAATAAGCACAGTGTTACTGAATGTTGCACTTGTGTTAATGAGTAAATCAAGAGTCTAAAAAATTAAAGAAAACTAATCATTGTTTTATTTTGGACATACTAACCTCTTTGGCTAAAATCTTAGCTGTTGGGACATCACAGATGTCGGACAGAGCAACAAAGTCTCCAAAAGATGACATGCGGTCAGCACCTTGGAAAACAAGACAGGATCCAATTTACCTTTATATAAAAATATTGAGTCAGATAACCAGCATGTTATTGTCCTTTTGATCTCTGACATGCAGTCAACTAATGCAAACAATGCATTCAATGTGTATACATACTTGAGAGCTCAGCCAATCAGAATACAGTACAGGCTGATTAGACTCATGTATTAAAATCCGCCCCCGATGTTTGGCCAATGCAACATCCGTGATTTTACAAACAAATATCTACAATGCGGTATGCACGATGCAAACAGCAAACGCATACAGTGTGGCATTGGAGAGGTGCACATGTTTTTACCAAAGTTCATGGTGGTTGAGCATATGTAGTCAATACCATATAAGCAGCTTTGAAGGTGTTGCCTCTACTTGTATTGACACTCACAAGTTACGGGCCTGATTTCATGACTCCGCTTACCACAGCATTCCATGCTTACGATCACCATTTTATGCTCAAAGTGCTAGCAGAAAAGTTCTGTATTAGTTCTGTCAGCACAGAATCCTTAGTTATGGGATGCTGCATGTTCGCAGAAGCCAAAATTCCTTGCTAATGCGTAAGCAAAGATTTGTCTGCTACAGTAATCAGGGATGTTCACTTACGCTAGGCAGAGCCGTGAAATTGGGCCCAGATGTTCAGTCTAACTTCACCTTCAGACCGCATATGAATAGTACTTGGCTATGGCTCGCAATGACACACGCGCTATGGGAGTGGCTGTAGCCACTTTCCATAAACAGTAGCCTTTATTTTACACGCGGCCTTACACTCACCTCTGGCCCTAGCGTAAGCCGTTGCTAATGGAGTCAGGGGCATCAGGTCTGCTACCATACACAGCTTGGCTTGTTCAGGACTCAGCTCCACACCGACTGCGGCGCCTGGGTCAAGCAAACAAGAAATGGAACATCAGGGCAAACATCTCAGGCTCAGATAGACTACAGTGATAGCGGGTCAAAGTGAACTAGACAACAAGTATTTTGACAATATGAAACAAGTGTAAATCAAATTAGGTTGTGCCCTTCACTGACGTATAAACACTGTATACTCCGTGTGTTACCTCCCGAGTGAAAGTTGGGGGGGGGGGAATGAAAGAAGTGTGAAAGAAAAATGGATTTAAACCCAATTCCCTAGATTTTTCCTAGAAAAATTCTGAAAACCTCCAAAATCTGTCAAAGTGCAGTAAACCATGGCTTATTCTTTTTTTCTTTATTTCAAGATTTTTCATGTAAGCCCCATGTTAAGTAACAGTTGCATTGGGCTCTGTGAAGTACTTCCTCAAAGTTATGAAAGAAAGAGTCAGGGGAGACCACTAGAAGAGACATTTAATATTGTGCATATATACAAGTCATGCGTACTTAACATCTCTTACGTACCTGCAGGACTGACATGTTTGAAGGATGAGGCAGCAGGCATCCCCAGCGCGGTGCGCAACTCCATGACCAACTGCCAGGCGTTGAGGGCATCACACAGGTTGATGAAGCCCGGCGATCCGTTCAGGACCTTCAGGGGCAACTCCGTGCGGGTGGTGAAGAGCTGGGCAGGCTTCTGGTGCGGGTTGGTGCCGTAGCGCAGCCCAAGCTGAGACACGCCGTTGCCGCAGTACTGCTGACGGAAGAAGTCAGAGATGGCCTCGTCGTACAGGGCGGTGTGGGTGAACGCCTGGGGGTTGGGGTTGGAGAAAATTACTATGTTAAATGGAAATCCAGCAGAGGAGATTCGGGAATCTCTCATAGGCGGGGAAAAATTGACAAAAATGGCTTCACAAAAAGGAACTAGCACGATCAATTTTGTGCTGCTAAATGCAGAATGTTTAACCTATTCTTCCACTGGCTTAATAGATGTCATTCTTAAGAACAAAATTTTACTTAGTAAATCCTTTCTTCTATCAGGGCAACAATTGAGCCCAACATTGAATTTACATCACCCCAACGCAAATTCCATCTTATCAAGTGACAGTCAGTCAGTCAGTCAGAAAGTCAGTGAGATACGTAGGTACAAAGAGAACTGTAGGCCGACCCCCTGCCCCCAGCAAAACACTGACAAACAAGGGCTGCATTCCACTCAAGCAAACGTTGCAAACAACGTTTGCAAAATTTATGCGCATAACCATTGGGAAATCGTTGGCAACGTTTGCGTTGTTTGTGTATTAAGTGGAACGCACCCCAGATTTGCATTTGGACGGATTAATACAATTTATTAATCACATCGTCATTTAAAGAAATTAAACTGAAAAACCTCATTTCAGAGCAATGGTTTCAGAATGGTGTTTTGAAGTGTGCATTGTGTACCTTGACAGCCAGTTTCTGTCTGGTCTCCAGTTTAGTGTCCTTCTCATCACTGCTTTCCAGCTCAGCTAACACGCTGTCACGGATGAAAGCAAATCATTGATCACTGATTTATAATTCTGACATCTCAATTTTGTTTTTGTTAATGATGGATTAGGCAACTCAGAATGCACTACGACAAGATTCTAACATCAAAATTTATGTTTAAGAAAATTATAATCATTAAGTCCAAATTAAAACCCTCATACAGCCAATCAACAAAACCACGTACATGGACATGCATGTCATGATTGAAGAACACAATAATGAATGAAAAACAACCTTTCAAGAAAACCAGACACATTAAAACAAAATTATAAACAATTTTTTTCCCACTAACAGTATAGTTTGATATTCACTGAGCTGCCACATCAACTTAATGTTTTCTTTATCACTGCTATACTACAACGCTCAAAGGATATTTGTGTATGTGTGAAGCCGCCTCCTATGTGGCTGAGGCTAAGCCTGGTCCAACATACACGCAAGACTCTATTTTGTGGGCTCTTGATTTTCCCTCGAAATGGTGAAAATGGAATGATTGGCAATACCTGTTGTAGTCACTGGGGTCACACACCACCGTGACCCTAGAGTGGTTCTTGGCTGCAGCTCGCAGTAAAGTCACACCACCTGTTAAAGGGATAATACAAAACTTGGGTCAAAATTCCAGACAAACAGTTTAACAAAAAATAGAATTTAGATCACTAATAATTTTTGCAATCCAAGGTTTTTGTACTCTGCAAGCACACAGCTGTTTCGTAAGTGGGAAGATGAATACAAAGATCAGAGTGCAACTTATGACGCATACCAAATTTTTTTTTTAAATCATTGGGTTTATTACATTTATTTAAAAAAGTAAAAAACACACTGTGGATTCGAAGATGAAGCAGAGCATTTTGAAGAATGCTACTTGTATGCCAGTTCCACATTCAAATTATTGAATTACCGAGGTTTAGCTGCAGCTAAACAAGGAAGGCCATAACAGAGCCAATTAAGAATGATAACTAATTAATGATCCACAGAAATGATCCACAACTCCTACTCTGTAATCTCCTTGACCACTTCTGGATGAAGGAAGTATCAGATTTGAAAAAAAAACATTTTCAGTTTTATTCACTGAGCTTCTTGGTACAAAAATAAAATGTTGATTTGTAATGTCTGTGATACTGGAATTGCCCTTAACAGAGGAATTTTGAGAACAAATTTTAACTTTTTGTTTTAAAATGAAAACATCAAATACTTCAAACCACCCCCCCCCCTAACAAATCAAGTCACTCACCGATATCAATCTGCTCCACAGCTGCTGGCACTGTCACATCTGGCTTAGCGATGGTAGACTCAAAAGGATACAAGTTACATGCCACCAACCTGTGGAAAAGGGGGGGGGGGGGAATGATAAGCACATTGTGAAACTCAGTAGTTGTGAGAACAAACAATACCTATTTTTGATCACATGAACTACCGGTCAAGTCCATCAAAAGTCCTTGACAAGTTTTGCCACGAATAACAGGAGAAAAACAATAGCAAAGAAATGCCTTTGTAAAAATTATTTGAACAGCTTGTGACTTGACTGAAGACTGGAGGACTTGTGATGGACTTGCCGGTAACAATATTGACCAGTAGTCTCAAAAATAAATGAAGAGTTTTGTGACAGCTTATGCTCAGAGAACCACTGATTTTTCATTTACCTGACAAACTTGAATCCTTGCTGGTTCATATCTGCCAAGTCCTGCTCAATCTTCCGGGACAAAATACCTGAATAAAGAAAAGAAATTGAAACCAATTGAAAGGAAACCAACTGGCAATTACGGGACCAAATTTTTTGATGCACTCCAAGGTGACCTTTCATAGAGTGTACAATTTTACAACTAAGGTTATAATACTGTATACACCTTGCAGATTCACCAGTATTAGATTTGCTAACAATATTCCAATCCCAACACTCGAAACCTGCAGAAACTAAGCAGCCTATTGGTAAGGGAGAGTAAGCCCCATAATGTGAAGTTATAGCGACTTGGCTGCACCTGGATTAGTCCTGCAAAATCCTCTGAAGCTCTGGGAGGGTCATGGGCATCTTAACCCCAATTAGAATGAGAAGGAGGGGGATGGGGGGGGGGGGGGGGCAACGACGCCAAATTTGCCAACAGACCACTCCATGTCGGCAGGTAGCCAGAAGGGGGAGGGGGTGTTTGAATACCATCTGAATAATGGGGGTACTATTCAAAGCAGACAATCTTGAACACTATTGGACAATACGTTTCTCTATTCACTGCGGCTTTAATTTGCAGACAGGACATTCTGCCGGCAAAAGGGATAATGGACACACCCCCACGCATCCCTTCAAGTGACACCCATGGGGAACGGTGTGGGTAATTTAAAAGTCCCACCTGCATGCACAGCAGGATGCAAGGTCTTGACTCGTCCGCCCAACATCTCAGGTGCTCCCGTTACCGAGGCAACATCACTGTTGAAGATAGCAAATAAACAAAAATCTACCTTGATTTTCTTCATCAAAGTTTGATGTCCACAATTTGGCCACCATTTTCTGACTTCATGAAATTTAAATGGAACGGTTAATCTGGTGGGAATCTGCAGAAGTTATATGTTAAGTGATTAATTCTGCAATAGAACTGTGGCTCAGAGAAGCACTATGAATACCTCAGGTTTTTCTAGGAACTACACATCACACAGATGCACGTCATGTGTTAATTTTCCCATTAACTAGATTCTGGAGTCATTCTGAATGAATGTGACAGTTAATCTTGTACAGTCACTCAAGCTTTTCATACAGCCAAATCTTCTGGCTTACAACTTTGAAAATTGGACATGTTTTCCTATGGTTAGAATCTGATATAGGTTGGTTGTGATACCCACTGCTGTTTCAGATTGGTACCAGCCAGCAGACCCCAGCAAGCTCGATGGTCGACTAAGACAGGAGGCCCGGGCCTGGAGTCCTATTAGAGTTTGTGAATTTTTCTCACAATCTTTCGGAACAATTAGAAAAGTAAGTTGGCGAAGGGCAAATCCCAATACTGAACATTTTCCTACCTGACTGGAATGCCAGCATCTTTGATGGCCTTGGCGGTACCTCCTGAAGCCACGAGCTGGAGGCCAATGGCCTGTAATCGCTTGGCAAAGTCCACCAGGCCTGCTTTGTTGGACACACTCAACAGTGCTGAGAGAAAATTGAGAAATTTACAAAGTTAATACGGTTCAAAACAAATGGCTCAAGAGCTGTCATGGTCAGTCCGTGATACATACCCTGAAATAATGTGACAGTTACATTTCAAAGCAGTTTTTGTGATCACTTTTGAGAGCTCCAGTGCCGGCCGGGACACAGTGCATCGCGGAATATCACTACGGCGGGTTATCGCATATCAAACCTTAACAACATCTAGCCCCTACACTAAACATGCTAAAACTTGTAAAAGAAAGCCGGAGCAGGTTAAATTAAATAGGATAGGGCCTACACTGCCTCAATTTTACCAACCTGAGGCCACCCATGGTTAGGCCCATCCGAAGCACTCATTAGTTGAAAAAATAATTCATGGTACTGGTATTTGGGGTAATGACGAGTAAGTATGACTGAGAATGACTTGGTATATCGTGCAGTGCCCCAAATTCGCGCTGCCCAATATTCGCGCAACCACCTTTCTCGGCTCGTATCTTTTTTTTCACACAACATGGACCGACATCAAATCACCGTCGATGATTCATCGTCACATAGCCTTTCTTCTCAATGCAGTTATAATATAGAAATCAAAAGCTTTTCCGAGAAGTAACTTGTCTTGAATGAAATAAAAGAGACAGTAAATTATTGCCGTACTGACTAGATACAAAACAACATTATTGAATAGCCCAGAAAACTAATAAAAACATCGCTACGAATTTCCAATCAGTGTCGCCGTCCAACCCAGAAACGTGAAAGATAACTTCGGTGGACTTTCATAAAACAACAGAGGGCGTAATCAGAATTAAGGAGCACGAAAAACGATGTGCGCCTTATATCGCATTATTATTTTACGATCTGTTTCGCCGAGATGCAAATTTCGGTACAGAGTTGTTTGCTGGAATGAATATGCTTTAATATATATTTCTGTCGGAATTAGACCTAATCATAATGTTTAAAGTACCCCAAAAAGTAGGCCAATACCAAACATCAATGAAAGAGAATTACAGGGTGTAGTTGACCTTAGAAAGTTTGGTTTGATATAAAATCACATTGCCCAAAAAAGTGGATGATTCCCCAAAACAGCGTGCTGTTATTTGTGTGTAAATTTCCCATACATTTGAACACATCAATCAAATTTTTTGTGACCGCCTTTTTTGAAAAGGTTTGACATGTAATATCACATACAGGGGTACTTTTGCCGAGCTCCAAACATCAGTACAAGAGAATTGCAGGGTGAAGTTGACCGAATAGAAAGTTGGTTTGTTACTGAATCACATTGACGAAAAAAAATGTGGATTCCCCAAAACAGCGATGCCATTATTTATGTGTAATTTCCCATATGTTTGTACACGTAAGCAACTGAAGTGGTCACAATTATTTCAGCCAAATGGAGCATAATTTTAAGGCCAAAAAAAATTTCAAAACTGCAATAATTTCACAACTGCTTGCCCTATGAACTAGTATATCACTTGTTTAATTGCATTTTGAAAGCTCTTTGAGATAAACTTAATTCTACACTATCGAATCAACTTTGAAATTTAATGATTCTACCTACCAAAATCGAAAAAAATTCATATAAGCCTAGGCCTATTTCATATTTAAACAAACAAGTATTTAGTAACAATGCAAACAAAAATTAGTTTATCAAACTAGAGACCAAAGCTGTGCACATAAACTTATCCTTTATTCAACAAACATCGATCCACATTGTTTTCAGAAGTAGGACACAATGGACTCTATGGAGTCTCCGTAGAATGCCACGTTTTCCTTTCGTGCGCGAATTATGGGCACGAAACTTTCGTGGCAGCCAATTTGACTCATCTGCACTGCAGACGACGACGTTCTTGGTGCTTCCTTGACATTCGATATTGTTAAAATGATTTTTCCATGTAGTTTATTAGCCATTCCTAGTCCTAGCCTATGGAAACATGCATTGTCAGCCTGATTATTACTACTCGGGTCAAGTCAAGACCCCCATTGGTTTGTACGCAATATGCCAGGAGAAGAGATACAAACATTTTGACCAATAGTGACCTCTTAAATAGTAGGAGGGTTAATGTCCATAACTGTGTAGGTTATGCAAGAAAAAATCGGTCAAAGTACTAAGTGCGCGAAAAATGGTCACACAAGCTGACAAGGATACTTGTCATGCTTGTCTTGACAAGTTGAAGTTCTTTTGAATTCTTACCAATTTCTCCACTTGCCATGACTGTATATGCTGTTATATGAATCTCTCAGTCTCAAACGGTATGGATTGTGTACTGTCTGAGTATTATGTTGTGGGTGGTACACACGAGTTATCAACAGAATAACAGAGTTATCAAGCCTGCCTCAAACTCTGAGTACTCGTTTGTACTGCATACACTGTCAACTGAAAGGATATTTTTTTGTGTACGAGCTTCTGTCGAGCACGTGTCTCGGTGCTGAAGGCGCGCTAAAATATGGTATGGTCCCCTTTCAGCATGACATTTACAAAGCATAGATTCGAATTGCACAAAACTTGTCGTACGTCATGTGTTCAGACTGATTCTAGCCATTCGGGGTGCACTCGAGCAACCAGACCTACACCTATTCGATGGCACAGCACCCCTAGCAGGAACCAGCCTAGTATAGGGGAGCTCAGCTTTAACTGTTGTTTGGGGAAGCACATATTTTTATACAGATTATTTTGGCAAAATAACCTTCTAAAAATAAAAAGTAAAGATAGTATAACCCATATATTGTAGTGAATTATTTTTAATTTCATTAACAATCTATTAGAACAAAGTACTTGATTTTTATCGATTGTTAGTTTGCATGTTCTTCACTGCAGGCCAATTTCCCCTTATATGCCAATGACGCAATTTCCAAGATGGCTGCGCCCATGGCACGTGCGGCAACGAAAGCTTTCGCAGGTTTTTCAACGAAGTTATTGAATACGACAGGCAGCCAATACTGTCAGTTATGTCATACTGGGCATCGTTATGTTTACAGATCGCGCTCATGTGCGAACTTTCATACTTCAGTGCTTTATGAACAGAGGAAACGAAAACGAAAGCCCAAACTGGCAAGTCAGTTGGAACTACGTGAGTGAAGCATTAAAAAAGGGGGCGGGGCATGGGAGGGGGTATTCGATCATGATTATTAAATTATATTTAAAGCTGTCATCGCCAAGTGTAAATGAGAGTCAGGTTGAAGTCTTAAAAAAACATATATTTTTGGCAGTGGATATTTTGCTGGAGACGGCCAACCTTCCTTAAGTGAACGTTAGCTTGCCGGATATGCACTGAACATGCGCAGTTACTGTTTTTTTTTACTTAAACATTTTCCGGTTATGCCGGTGACAAATTTTAGTCTGGCTCCATGCCAATATTATCCTTGTAACTTTATATTCTCAAGATGGGAATCACTGAGACCATTTTATAATTTCGGACTTTATTTCCCTTTTAAAAAAAAAACCCTTCAGAGCCACAAATCTGAAAAAGAAAATGTAATAGTCTGCAATAAAATGTTTGAGACAAGTTAAAATAATAAAAGAAGTTCTTATTTTTTGGGGATGGGGAAAAAAAAACTTAGAAATGTGGTGGGAGTTGGGTTCGAACCTGGGTCATCCCACTCACGAGAGCCGTTGCTTATCCACTGCACCAAATGTGCTACACAACTGTTGGTGGTAATCTTATAATTCAGCCCTATCTTAGAGAGTACAGCGCTCTCTGTTGATTTGGATTGCCGCTGGCAAACCTTTAGCACTGTTTAGTAAATGTTAATTTGTTTCAAGTGACCTCACCGTTGGGTTTTGCTTTATTTCCACAGCAACCATTCTCAGCGAAGAAGGTGAACAGGCCCTTAAGGACTTCAGGAACCCCAAGAGCTGTCTGCACAATGTCCTGTCGCTGGTGGCCAAGGAGGGAAAGGCTAGCAACATGTACCAGTATAAGGTACAGCCGGCCCCGGGGATGGGCAACTTGGTGAAGCAGAGTGTGCTGAGAGTGACCTGGCCCAAGGAGTTCACTGTGGTGGGGCTGGGGACCAGACGGAGTCAGGCTGAGAAGATGGCCGCCGCGCTGGCCTGCGCAAAGCTCAAGGTGAGGTTCACAGAATTGGTGACCAGCTTAAAAGATGTACGTCTTGCTGTTCAACAGATTGAAAAAAAATTCCCCTCTGGACAAATGTTCATGTTGTACGTTTATTTTAATGAACAAAAGAAGAATTGTTGCATCTAGGGACTGACCATGGACAAGAGAGGGCGTTTTTTCACAAATGTCAAGAACCCATGGATGGGACGCACAGCGTACATGTAATGGTTTGTGGATTTATTGTGCGAAGTACGCAATTTATTTTATTCTGAATGTGCACCCAGCTGTAGCGTCATTGCATGAGCATCAGGCTCCAACAGTATCGCATTAGAATGTCGCTCCCAGAGGTCTCTGTGAGCTTTCTCTTTCTTTATCAATGGGGGGGGGGGGGGGGGGGGTGTAAGAGTAGCATCTGCTACCCTCTTAAAATTCTCTTAAAACAAGACTTTTACTTGAGTTCTGAACAAAAACAGATCCACCCAGCAAGTACACTGGTTCCCAGTTCCTACATTTTCAATTCTCACAATCTTCCCTGTGGGCAATGTTTTTGCCGCCAATTATTTAAATTTTGTCAAGTAATCACATGGATTACAACACTTAATAGACTGAATGTTGTTTACTACTTTTATGGCGTAAGCATTTTCTTTTATGGCTTAAGCATTTTCTTTTCTCCTGACGACGGGCAGAGCATACTGTTTGAAACGTTGAGTCCCTCTGGTTCTTTTCAGAACCACACATACTCACAAAAGAGATTTATTCACATGGTGCTACCGCAAACTTATCTTGTCTCATTTTCTTTTCATCTCACTTTCAGGAGGTTGGGCTTCTGGATGAGAACAACAAACCTAGGATCGCCGGGGAGGTGCTGCACAGCAAGGAGGAGATCAAGGAGCAGCTGTGGAGAGAGAGTCGTCCAGACTGGATCGGGCTGGAGCCGGACCTTGAAATGGAGGTCAAGCAGGTGCTACGACATGTGAAGGTCAGTATTGGTCTCGTTGACCTCCAAACCCTGCTTGGACTGTGCAGTATGATCAGTCGCAGACCCGCAGACAGTCAGAAATTAACTCCACTGCCTCTCCCATAACTTATACACAAGTACAGGCCAGTCACCAGCAGTCAGATGACTTTTCTTGTAGGCACTGTCAACAGACAAAAGCAAGTAAATGATAGGTACAGCTGGCTTATAAATCTCCTACAGACGAAGCATAGCTGTTTCAAGTTAAATAAACAGTCACTACCAGTCAATGTTGCTTTTTGCAGACAGGGAGCACTCAACTGCTAATCCTGTTGCTGTTTTTTTCCATCCAAAGTCAATTACACCTGTACCGGTTTATACCTGGTAACCAATTCTCTCTACTACTTACTCCACAGATACAGCGTTTGGGCTCTGAGTATAGGGAACCAGCTGAAGATGCTGAAAGCCACACCGAGAGTTTTGAAAATCTGTTTGATTTTGATGATCCGGAAGATCTGCTGTCAGATGTAATCACGGGGAAACCTTACCAGGAGATAACTGAGAATAGAGCAGAGTGGAAGAACAACTTCCTTGCTGAACAACAACAGTTACTGGACGACGGGAATGACCAAAACTCCAATGAGAGCAGCATCAGGGCGGAGGCTCTGAAACTCCCCATCGCGGATATGAGGTCAGTGCTCCACATTCCATATATCAAGAAAATGAATAAGTACAGTGTGCAGTATACAAATTATGAATGTTTACGAGTGCAATGGTAAGAATGATTTCATGAGGTGACAGATGGAATGTTTCCTTCCACTCGGCAAATGGAACACATTCCATCCGTCATTGAATGAAATTATTCTTTCCATTGCACGAACGTAAAACATTCATTATTTGTTTTACAATGTATATAACACCTGAATATATCCTCATCATCTGATTGGTCCGAGCCTCCCATAGTGTGACTGTGCAATGGAACTTCTATTTTTGTTGTGCGGCCATGCCATGGGTTTGGCTGAATAGTCAGTGACATGTGGACAACGACCTACCAGTCAGCTGTTGGGAATTTATTCAGTTGTTGTATAATATACCCTAACCTTTGGCAATTTTCAGTTCCAATGCTGTTAAGAATTCCTATCTCTGATTCCCAACCTGAAAGCCATGGATAATTATCTTTTCAATCCTGTCAGAAATGCATCAGTGAAAAATTTGGAACCCTCTGGAGTATTTTGTCTAGAAACCCTTTGCAAAAATAACTTCTTCTCCGGAGGTCACAGGTTCGAACCCCGCTTGAGTTAATTTCTTTGTTAAACTTTGAAGAAATCATTATAATGTACCTAGTCAGTTTCCCTTTGTGGTTTATTAAAAAAAAACTGAAGTTAAATCTTCCTGAAATGAAAAGAACTTGTGACTGTACTGTGTTGAATCGTTGTTTTAGGAAGGACATTTTAGATCTGATCCGTGACAATCAGGTCATTGTTCTGTCCGGCGAGACAGGATGCGGCAAAACCACTCAGGTACCTCAGTACCTACTAGAAGAATGGATACAACAGGACAAAGGAGCTCACTGTAACATAGTAGTTACCCAGGTATTTATGCTTAACAAACGGGAATTGTTGTAACCGAGTACATCACAAAGTCCACTTAAAGTAAATCAAAAGTCAGTTCACATCTAAATTTGCTAAGTGAAATTGGAGTCTGTTGTTGACTCACAAATATTTTAGATATATATATATTTAATTGCACAACTAATTCTATTTTGAATGTGTACAAATCCGTAGCGTCTTCGCTTGAGCATCAGGTGCTGTTAGCAATGGCATTCGAAAACTCTCTTTTTGTAACCGTTGAGCCACAATATTTGCACAGAAAACATATCCATTGTAGCCATTTTTCAGTGGTTTTAACATGAAATTATGAACATTTAATCGTCTGAAAGTTTGCTAAATTAAACCACAATATTTCATACTTAACAATATAGGGACTCTAGAATTATAAAAATGCAGATGTTGATAAAGTTCATTACAAGATCTAAGCATCTTACAGGACATTGCTAAGAAACTGCTGCATTTTTCCCCCTCACCTCTTGTTCTTTAAAACACTTACAGCCGAGAAGAATAAGTGCTGTATCTGTTGCGGAACGTGTGGCTCTTGAACGCGGGGAGCGAGTGGGGAATACGGTTGGTTACCAGGTTCGTCTCAATAGTAAACTGCCATACAACAATGGCTGCATACTCTTCTGCACCACCGGTATTCTGCTCAAAAAGCTGGAATCTAATCCAAGTCTAGCAGGTGAGATGATTGTCGTGGGTTTTGTGGGGTCAAAAATTATTTGGTCAATTGGATGTTATTTTTTCGAAGATTGTATTTTGTACGTTCAGAGGCAAAACATTGGACTTTCAAGTGGCTGAGCATTTGTGAATGGATCCCAAGAATCTTTTCACTTTTTGTTTTTCCTTGAAAACACTTTTATTGTACGATTTCAATTATTTCTTGAAAACGTGTGCAGTTGTGTAGTAGACATGTCAAAGAATACAAATATCGGAAATAAGTCACCCCAATCGTTTTTTGGGTTTTTTTTCACATTTTTCTCCACCATGGCCCGTGCCAAGTTCCGTCTCATATTGCCAGGACGCTTCACGTACGTTGTGGATGGACTGTTCCTATTGATTTCCATTGTGAACGATTCTGTTAAAAGGCCAATTAATTTTAATTTTGGTTAAATTTCAGGTATCAGTCACATCATAGTGGATGAGGTTCACGAGCGAGACATCAACACAGACTTCCTTCTAATTCTCCTCAAGAACCTTCTCCGGGATAACCCTGACCTCAAGCTGATCCTGATGAGTGCATCCATCAACGCTCAGCTTATCTCCTCCTACTTCAACAAGTGAGACAGGATGTTTGCATGCGTACTTTTGTCTGGAAAATACAGAACCATTGCTCTCTATCTTCACCTTAACACATCAGGCCTTTTAAAGAAAAACAATCCAACTTTAAGTAGGCTCAAGACAAAAGAAAAAAACGAAGATAAGAACAAAACTTTCTGTTTGTTTTTGAATTCATGCCAAGATTGAAGTTTAGGATACTCTTTTGGAGCTACATTAAGTGTTTCAAGTTTCATCTTCTTGGTGAAAACTACTTGAAATGTTCTTGGAAATTATTGAGCAATTTGCACAAATATCAACTTTTCCTTTCAATCTTTTAAAGATGTCATGCAGAATTTTTAATGAATAAACATTCAGCCGCTTAGCTGTTTGATTTAGTAACTTGGTCATTACGGGGTAAGGTTTTGCTGGATTACAAGTTTTGACGATTGTCTTGCTCATGTTGATTGCTTCCATTTTCTTCAGACATAAAAATGTTGTTTATTTTTCCCAAAATATTTCTGTTCGTCAGCTGCCCCATGATCAGCGTACCCGGGTTTATGTATCCCGTCAAGGAGTACTATGGAGAGGACATAGCGAGACTCCTCATGAAGAGGAATGGTTTCCTTCGGAACAGTAACCGGAAAACAGAGTTGGCAGATGATGAGGTCGTCCGACCGTTGACTGATGTGGATCTGACTGTTGATGTCATCAAGTTCATCGATGCTAGCAGGCCTCCTGTAAGCCAAGAATATTGCTCCTTCAGCACCCTAAACAAAACTCACTTTGAATTATTGGGGGAATCTGCCTTATATACGTAGCTTATACATAGTGCTTTTTACGGAAGGTCTCAAAGCACTCAATAATTATTACCCCTTTTATTCAGGCAGTGAGATAATTTTCCTGCAGCAGCTAGAGAACAGTGCAATGTGATCTCTATTCTCACAGGTACCCATCTATTCTCCTGGGTGGAAAGAGGCAATTGTAGTCAAGTGTCTTGCCTACCATCACAACAGTCCCTGGAATGTCAATCTTAGGTTTTTTCCTCCCACCTGTGAAAATGTCATTTTCTTCCTCATCTTCTATCAAGTGATCCGTGAAGGAATAATTTATGAGACTTCCATGGGACATCCCATCCAATATCAAGTACTACTAATAACAAAGGAATAGTTCAATAGATTTATGTGTTTCCATGCCAACAGGGTGCCATTCTATGTTTCCTCCCTGGCTGGCAAGACATCCGATCAGTCTGCGAAAAGTTGGAGGACGTTTGGCCAAATGTAGGTATTTGTGAAAAAAAAAATTAATGATTTTCGATAGGAGATTGCTTCTGGGATCTATAAATTTTGTCACTGGGTTTAGCCCTTTAGCAGCATGACCTGAAATGTTACAGCTATCAGATTCCAACTGGCCAGCCAACACCTTCAAGCTCAGTTGTGTTGTTAAAACATCTCTACTTGTAATAGGAAAGTTGGGGTTCCAGTCCCATCTCAGCAAATTTGTGAATGGTTTTTTCTTGCAAGCTGTCATACAGTAATGCTCTGTGTTAGCAAGTTAAGTAACTAAGATGTTAATTTTGTCATAAGAGATTTTGAACTCCAGAAGATGTTGATTTCATGAAAGATTTGCTTGTTTGTTGGCACCATTGATCTCCATTAGTTAGACTGGATAGGACACGTGTATACTTGCGCACAATGAAGATTCGGAAAACGCGGACACAAACATGCGTGATGTGCGTGTGCTGCATGGTCTGCGTGTGACGAACGCATTGCAAACTTCAAACCCTCACCGATGACTACTCGTGTGTGCACAGGATGGAGGGCGCTGTGTCCTATCCAGTCTTACTAATGGAGATCAGTGGTTGACACGCAGCATGCAATACACATCGTACTTTCAATATATATATTCATGTTTTTTTAACCCTTGTTTTTTTTTTTTATTTGGTTTTGTGTTTATTTCTTTTCTTTGTTCTAAACATCAGAGTGAGAACCATCGAGTACTGCCTGTTCACTCCAGTGTGCCACTCTCTGCACAGCAGGAAATTTTTCAAAGGTTTGCTGTTTTCTTTAATACTGTTCTTTTTCCTAGGGCAAGGATATTCACAGTTTTACAACAGCTAGTTTTGTGTGGTTTCATATCAGTAACAAAATGGTCATTGAATTAACTCTTTTTTAAACTAGTTTAGTTCCACCCTTAGAATCTGGCAGCAGCTTTCAAGATCTCTCATATGTAAACCAAAATTCTTTACGCTAGATTACGCTAAAATTTGGGAAATACATGCTTTACAGCAATCCTGATTAATAAGTAAATAGTCCATTTTTCGGTTTGTACACTGCCACTTAATACATGTACACCTAAAAATGACTGTGTAAGTTATATGCCGTCATTTATTGTGTATTAGTCACAAACAGATGCACTGCTTGGAGGCATTTAGGATCATTTGCATTTTTCCCAAAACAAACCTTCCAAATTATTATCTAAAATTTTCCCTGGATTAAATATCGTACTGGTACTAAACACCCTGTGAAATTATCTTGCTGGTTGTCATTTCAGTCAGTTGACTGGTTTGTTTCTAGATCAAACGGTTGTGCATGGTGTTTCACTGGTTTCTTGAAAACTGTAAAATCCACTGAGTTGAAACTTCAACAGATTAGGCTTCCATCCGATGGATTTTTTTTTATTCATTTATTCAATTTTGCGTCGGGGTGAGGTATTAAAAATCAAATTAGGTTTTGCCCTTCACCGACGTATAAACACTGTATACTCGGTGTGTTACCTCCTGGGTGAAAGTTGGAAAAAAATTCACTCGGGTGGGACTCGAACCCACGACCTCCTGCTTTCTAGTGCAGATGTCTTACCACTCGATCATCGAGCTAACGGGGTCAGTTAGCAGGTTCGAATCAGATGTACATAGCAGCGGATACCGCATTAACTATTCAAAGATGGAATGTTATGTCAGGGTGATGTAAATCAAATTAGGTCTTGGATTCTGTGTTCGGGTGAGATTAGTCTTTGAACGTTTTTCTTTGGATTTTAGGTGGTAACATTATTGGAAACGAACAAAATGCATGAAAAGCAAATGATCTTATATGCCTTTAAATTTCATGAAATGCGTCATAACTTGTTTTGCGACATATGCAAAAATATGTGGCGTAAGTGGAGTTATGCTAAAGCAAATTTTATGAAACGCCCTTTTTGTCTTAACAATTCAGGTCTCCAGATGGGGTGAGGAAGATTGTACTGGCTACTAACATAGCTGAGACAGCCATAACCATCAACGATGTGGTCTACGTGGTGAACCCAGGCAATCACAAGGAAGATCGATATGATGTGAACTTAGGGGTACGTTTCTTCATCCCTAAATTAACAAAAGGGTTGTTTTCCATTTTACAGTCTTCTTGGCGTTCTGTGTTCAGAGAAGGAGGAGTACTTGCTAGTCAACTTGAAAGAAAGAAACAGTGGCTAACTGTTTGTGGGGTTGTTTTTGAGTGGGGCGGGGTTTGGAAAAATTGGAAGCTACTTTTTATTGGTGCGTTTCTTCATCCATAAATTAAAAAAAAGGTTTTCCTGTTGTGTGCGGGCCCCCTTGACCAAATAAAAATACTGGAAATACTGAAAAAAATAGCATCATTCACACTTTTTTTCACAGACGAATGAATACAATACTTATCAAATAAAACGAGCTCAATCAAAAGAGACTAAGTTAGTTTGTTTTATGTCTTATATTGTCTTTTTATTTTTAGATGTTGTTGTTAATCCAACTGCAATTGAGAGTTGTGCCATGCAGGGAGGATGTTTATACTAAACCATTATTGAATTGAATTGAATTGAATTGAAGTCCATATTTTTGACCAAATTGAGTTAAATATGGGAAAGTGTTGCTTTCATATAGGGGTGTTATTTTTTATGTGTCTTTTTGTATTGAGATTATACCCTTAATATGAAATTAACATCACCAAAGAAATACATTTTTGGGTGTGTTTTTCCTCACTAAAAAGTTGTCTCTTGGACTTGGGCCCTTTTCATATTCAGGTATTCAATTGAAGGCGAACTTTATAAGGAGTGTACTCTACTGGAAAACGAACGCACCTGAAGCACATCTTGTCAATGAGGTCTTTGCCTACTTTTTACTTTTTCACACAGGTGTCATGTCTTGATGTCCAGTGGATCTCCAAGGCCAACGTCCGACAACGCAAAGGTCGCGCTGGCCGCTGTCAGCCTGGAGAATGCTACCATTTGTTCACCAAGAACAGATACTCACAGCTTGGTAGGTAAACCATATCAGTGAGAATAAACCCTACGGCTATTCCTCCTGGTACTGAAACAGTCAATTTCTTACAAAAATCCCCTCATTTGTGCTCAGTGCCAGAGCAGGAGGATCACCTTAATTCAATTAACTTTGAAAGTGAAGCTGTCTTTTGTTATTGGTGTCATATGGTTAGATCCTTTCACTGATGTCATAGAGCTACCCTTGTACTGTAGTCCTACACTTTACATTCTGCAGTCAAGTTTGAGGTGTGTTTTGTTATGTTAATTCATTAACAATCAATGCACAAGAGGTCTACCGGATGCATGTCCCTGCAGAACAAAAGCACACACCTCAAACATGGCCACTGTGCAAAGAATCTATGACATTATTGCATGCCAATTCCAGGCACTCGTGCTTGTTGCATACCAAGGTTAAAACCACGTCCAATGAATTTAACAAAAACTGTTCTGTCAATTTTCATACACTATAAAAAAGACCATCATTTTGTTTCTGTCGGCAGTGACAGGAACTGCAAAGGGTTTATTTCACTTCGGATTGACTTGAGTATTTAAGCCGTTGGTCAATTTCTTTCTCTATTTGTGAGTGTACATTGATATGTTCATGTACATGTACAACTCTTAGTTCGAAGCCTGATAAATGCACCAAAAAGTGTGCCAAATTGATCATCATTAGGCACAAAATTGCCTTCTGATGCTTTAAAAGTTATTTATGGGAGAGCATGCTTCAGAAAAATAACTTGTGAATTGGTAGTCAGGGAACCCTCATCCCCCGAGACGTTGCAGTTGAATTTCCCTATCGAATGGGTTCAGACATGTTATCAGTCATATTGTGGTGCTGCATCCGAATTAATACTTGGCTACAGCGTCCAGTTACACATATAGCCAATGTAAACAGGGGTGTGAAATCTCAGCTTTAAAGCTGATTTCAGCTATTTTTGTTTGGATTTCAGCTTTTTTTCCTCACTTGCTGTGTACAAAAGTATAGGAGATTTTCAAAGTTCAGCTTTTTTACACCCTTTAATTTAGCTGTTTTCAGCTATTTTTATCAGTGGTCACTCACACCCCTGGAAATTAGATGCCGCTTACAATGTGAGTCTCTTATTGTACATTGATTAGAGGATTACCAGGTCCCTGAAATGCTGAGGATCCCCCTGGAGCAGATAGTGGTACAGGCCAAGGTTCATTTCAGAGACATGAGAGCTGCTAGTCTCCTGAGCCAAGCTATGCAGCCTCCTCCACTCTCTGCAGGTAAGTTTTTTTTTCATAAACTGAGGGGTGTTTCAAAAGCCCTGGCTTCTTCTCCAACTGAAGTTTTATCTCTGGCTTCACATCGCAGCTGTGATACGTCCTCAACGCAACCTCCTGCTTACTAGTGCAGAGGTCTTGCCAATCGGTCACCCAACTTGCTTGGGTCAGCTGGTTGGTTTGAGTCTGATAAAGAGGCTGGTGCCTCAACCAAACTATTCATGAGATAATACCGGAGTTTTATTTGGTACTCAAGGCGCTGGAAATTATGTCTATTATTAAAGACAGGTAAATGAAGTTGATGAGAAATATGAGACCCACTATGTAGCACCTTATAATGGTATACAAGGTGCTGCGGCGCATATTGCAGCCACTGCCAGAAACACCGGAGCAAACCCTTCTCTTAGCGATTGGTGTTACTGGGTTCTTTAACGTGCATTACACACACACGGGACCTACGGCTTTATGCCCCATCTGAAGGACGAAGCAATAATGGTAAAGTGCCTTGCTCAAGAGCACAAGCACCATGCTCCCACGGTCAGGATTTGAACCCATGTACCACGGCACATGAGTCGAACACCGTAACCACTGGACCACAGCACCCCACAAATCAAGATGGAATTCGCATTGAGGAAATTCCATTGTTACAGACGTTATATTCAGAGCTAAAAACCAATTTGAAACAACAAAATAAAATATTTGCGGCAGAAGCAAAGTTTATATACTTGGCACAACTCTAGCTTGGGCCTGAGTGTACAATATGACATTGTTAATGTAGTGTTAGCTAAATTAATTAATTAGATATAAACTATGTAAATTACCGTTACATACAGGCATGCAACTTTTCCTCGGATCAGCTGATTTCCTCTTTTTTTACTTCCCATGTGTGCCATTGAAAATAGAAAAACACTGTACAAAGTCTTGGAAAGATTTGAATTTCCTCTTTTTTTGTGACTTCCCAGTTGCATGCCTGTACATACGTTACGGTTTAATATAGATGTTTCGATTTTCAGTATACAATGATAAAAGTCTATGCAATTTCTAGCAAGAATTTAATGAAATTACTATATTTTGGCAGATATAGCTTCACTCTATAAAAATACCAATGACATTTTGCAAAAAGGTACTTGAATATATTATGGATACATAATGTTATTGTTACAGATGTTACATTAAAACGTTATGGATGTTACATGTCTTAAATCAACTTCACCTACCAGTACATATACATGATAAAAAACACACTTAATCATGGTATTTTAATTTCTGTGTTATATTTTTATGACATATGAACCTTTCTCTCTGCCTTATAAAAAATCACAATAACACTTGCATTTTGCATGCGAAAACAAGATGCCAAAATGACTAACTAAAATCCATAAGTTTAGCTCAAAACCAGTTATTTTACACGCACACAAAACTACATTTTATGCATCTCATCTCACTGGCACAAATTCAATTAAGATATCGTTTTGTCCCGTTTTATTTGAAACTACATCTGATTTCATACATTTTCCTCTTTTCTGCCCTGTCCACTTTTGCATGGAATGGGACCTGTTTTAACTGCAAATGAGGATCCATGTTCAATTCAGTGGATGTTTAGCTAAACTTTTATGCAGTTACGACAAATGAGCTTTTTAGCAACTTTCCTGTACGTTTCATTTCTCCAGCAATAGATGATTGTATTAAGCCAGGAATTGCTGTAACGCAGACCATCAAACAATGTCCAAAGACAAGCATAAATAAATGGGTCATAAATTAACTGTGCAAATGCAGGTAGCCAAGTGACACAGACAGTGCCTGTGATAATCAGAAATGTTTTGAGAGATTTGGCATTTGAGCGATGCAGCTGAACCTGTGCATCTTCAGCATTGATTTCAGCTGCTGCTATACGCCGTGCCTGATGCCTTGCAATCAAAAGCAATTTTCCGTATGGAATAATGACCAACAAAAGTAATATTATTACAAAGGGAATATACATTAGGATCAAAAGCTTCTGTTTTATGGCATGTGTGAATAGTGATATCAGCTCACAAATAAGTAAAGCAAGGCAGAGTAGGACTGCACACGTCAAGCCGATGTAGATTCTTCTTTTGGTGACTAGAGTTTGTAGCCTCAGAGGTTGTGACACCGCAATGTATCGAACCACAGTGATCATCACCAGAATGCAAAATCCGAGAAGTTGAAAAAATTCAGCCACACTTGCTGGGGCCTGATGTACATAAATAATCGCAGAGAGGAGACCAGAAAATCCTATACCAATGTTATTTATGGTGAGAGCTACTAGCAGCAGCTTGGTGACGTCATGCATGTCATGTAAGCGATGTAACACCAACAGAGAAAACAAGTTGCAGATGAGGCAAAACACGCAGATTGGAACTAGAACACATACATACATCAGATAACAATCAGAAAAGTTTGAAGAGGCTGAGAACTCCCAGACTCCTGTCAAGTTGTCCATTGTGTGAGTCGTCATTGTTCTTGGTGATGTATGTTCTATCCTTGCACACACCAAAGATGCTTAGACTGGTGTACATGGCATCTGTTGTGCTTTTCTAAATCCACTGAGTCTGGTCATTTTACTGTGATGAATTTGAGAAGTCAATAATTACATCTAAAGCATAGAGTAACAATCCATCTGACCAGTACCGAATCTTCATAAGAATTTCCCAGCTTTTCTACTTAAAATGTTCCAGTTGCTCCTCCAAATTCTTCTGAAGTTCTGCAATAAATAGATTTACAGTGTTTCAACCACAAATAGTGACTTTTGTGTCTGTGGCGCAGCATGAATTCTGCCTTACAAGTGCGTCATTGCATTATCATGGCAACCACTTTATTATTTAAATGCAGTTGCTTCTCAATGAGCCCTGGTCACCATCATTGGTCTCAAAACATTTTACAGACAATAAAATTGTCAGTCGTAGTTGTTTACATAGTGTTGTAAATTAGCATTTCTGCTTTGCCCGCTAAATTGCAAAATGTTAAACAATACACTTGTAGATTACAACTCTGTTTTTCCAAACAACATTGTCCATTTCCTGGCAATTATTGCAGCATCATCTGAAGAAGGTCTGTTAAGACCGCATCATTTGATATAATTAAAGAGTTTCAAAAAATGCTGGTTGCCTTTTGGAGTGTGACCTGTGTTGAAATTCTTGTTCTCTTGTTAACTTTTAACCATAAATTTATGAGTTTGTAGACATACTGGTAATATCATAACATAGTGTAATGATATTTCTTGTTAAGGATATTTTATAATTACAATTCTAGCTTGTAAAACACCTCCCTCCCAAGAAGGTTTCACCAACTTTTGTTCTTGTTCCCTTGTTATCTTTGTAAATTCTGTATTAAATTGACACTGTCTACATTTTGTTGAAATATGTTTTTTTGGTTAAAATCCTAGGTAACAGAACTTTTTGTACTTCCCATGTGTGCCATTGAAAATAGAAAAACACTGTACAAAGTCTTGGAAAGATTTGAATTTTCTCTTTTTTTGTGACTTCCCAGTTGCATGCCTGTACATATGTTACGGTTTAAAATAGATGTTTCGATTTTCAGTATACAATGATAAAAGTCTATGCAATTTCTAGCAAGAATTTAATGAAATTACTATGTTTTGGCAGATATAGCTTCACTCTATAAAAATACCAATGACATTTTGCAAAAAGGTATTTGAATATATTATGGATACATAATGTTTTTGTTAGGGATGTTACATAAAACGTTATGGAAGTACATGTCTTAAATCAACTTCACCTACCGGTACATGTAATCATGGTATTTTAATTTCTGTGTTATATTTTTATGATATAGGAACCTTTCTCTCTGCCTTATAAAAAATCACAATAACACTTGCATTTTGCATGCGAAAACAAGATACCCAAATGACTAACTAAAACCAATAATTTTAGCTCAAAAGCAGTTATTTTACACGCACACAAAACTACATTTTATGCATCCCATCTCACTAGCACAAACTCAAATAAGAGATCTTTTGTCCAGTTTCATTTGAAACTACATCTGATTTCAAACAGTTTCCTCTTTTCTGCCCTTTCCACTTTTGCATGGAATGGGACCTGTTTTGACTGCAAATGAGGATCCATGTTCACTTCAGTGGATGTTTAGCTAAACTTTTAGCAGTTACGACAAATGAGCTTTTTAGCAACTTTCCTGTACGTTTCATTTCTCCAGCAATAGATGATTGTATTAAGCCAGGAATTGCTGTAACGCAGACCATCAAACAATGTCCAAAGACAAGCATAAATAAATGGGTCATAAATTAACTGTGCAAATGAAGGTAGCCAAGTGACACAGACAGTGCCTGTGATAATCAGAAATGTTTTGAGAGATTTGACATTTGAGCGATGCAGCTGAACCTGTGCATCTTCAGCATTGATCTCAGCTGCTGCTATACGCTGTGCCTGATGCCTGGCAATCAAAAGCAATTTTCCGTATGGAATAATGACCAACAAAAGTAATATTATTACAAAGGGAATATACATGTACATTGGGATCAAAAGCCTCTGTTCTATACCATGTGTGAAAAGTGATATCAGCTCACAAATATGAAAAGCAAGGCAGACTAGTGTTGCGCATGCCAAGCTGATGTAAGCTCGTCTTTTGGTGACCAGAGTTTGTAGCTTCAGAGGTTGTGACACCGCAATGTATCGAACCACAGTAATCATTGCCAGAATGCAAAATCCCAGAAGCCGAAAAAATACCACCACACTTGCTAGGGTATATGCGACAAGATACAGTTGCAGACTCGCAGAGAGAAGACCAAAAGATCCCACGCCAACATCAGTCACAGTTAGAGCTACTAGGAGCAGCCTGGTGACGTCATGCATGTCATGTAAGCGATGTAACACCAACAGAGAAAACAAGTTGCAGATAAGGCAAAACACGCAGATTGGAACTAGAACACATACATACATCAGATAACAATCAGAAAAGGCTGAGAACTCCCAGACTCCTGTCAAGTTGTCCATTGTGTGAGTCGTCAT